TTTCACGCCCTTTGTATACGCCAGTATATGTCTTCTTTATTGAAGTCTTGAAGATTGAATAAAAAAATGGAATACGAGAAAGTTTTCCATTGTCGATGAAATAACGACGATCAAATGGAAGTTTCTCCTTCGTCTTTAATCCTCGATACTTCAAGACAGCATATTGACGTGCCCAAGTGGCATGACGATCAGTAGCAAACCCTCGTACACGTATAGGGTTTTTATTCACCATCAATCTAACTGTAAAACGACAACCTTCTTCAATGATGCCTACAAGATCTGTACTCTTTAGTGCAATGTTAGGAATCGAGAAATGAATATCTCCATTATCACCAATCTTCCCATCGAAAATGTTGAGTGGTGTCACCTCTTCAAGAACGTTGTCATCACAACTAGATCGCACATCCTGTGTTCTAACGCTCGGCTTTGTATCAAACTGATTATCTTTAGATGGCAAATCCACGTTTTGTGGAATGTAACGCTCTTTTTCATCCGAGTCTGGTTCAACACCCTGCACGATCTCAGATGATACATCATCAAACGCAGATGACGTTACCCCATTCCGTTCAGTGGAAAGATCTATGATATCGGTCACATCGGTCTCAATTGGTGCACTCGATTCAATAGGAAATGAGGTGCCCCAAATTTCGCCTTCATCGCACTCTTCAAGAAGAGTGTAATGATTACTAGACAACCAAAGATGAACCTGATTATCATTTCTAACAAATTTGATTCCTTCGCATTGCACCCATTTGCGAGCATCAAACCAAATAATCACGGTCATGTTCATCAACTCGCAAAATCCTTTGATTTCGCAAGCCGAACCCCATACCGAAGGGTGTTGGATATAATCAATATATCCTTCCGCCGATTCAAATGGTACGTCATGACACAACGCAGCCATGTTTTTATATTCTGACCAATTCGCACGTACATACTCAACAATGTTCTCTTTCAATGGTTGCCAAAACTCGTCGTTTTTAAACACTGCGAGCGACAGAGGAAACAAAGCAGTACAAGCTCAGGGTGGATCACGATGTCACCACACATTCTGAGCACAAGCAAGAAGCAATAGTTTAAGGTGCACAATTATGAGCAAAGCTAGAGGCAGTCACAAAAGGGGCAAGTGAGGAGGAGGAGGCGAGACTGTAGGTGGAGAGGAGATAAGAGGCGTCGGCTGAAGCTGCAGACACACGGGCAACAGGAGTCAAACTGGCTCAGTGGCTACCGGAACAAGCGCCCCGGACTACAGGAGTAACTGGCTCCGCGGCTAAGAAGAGCGGCAGACGAGCAACGGACCCACGGGCGACTGGCGCAGCTGGCTACGACTGGGCTACCGGAACAAGCGCCCCGGACTACAGGTGCTGCTGACGACAAGACGGCAGCCTCCGCTCAACCTCCCCCGACTGTCCCACCCCCCTCTCACACACCCCCTGCTGGAACCCTAGCTCCACTCCGACGGTACCCCCCTTAGACCCCAAACCCTAGGCTCCCACACACCACCCCCCTCAGCGGCAGCTGTAGCAGAGGGAGACGAGGGAGGAGGAGGAGCAGGGAACGGCACACTGAAGCTGCACCCCCATACCCCCCACCCCAAACCCTAATCCAGGAGAACGGGCAGAAGGAGGGGTGGGGCGCCTTCAGAAGCACGGGGGACAGCGGGGAGGACAGGGGAAGCGAAGAACGGGCCGCCCACGGGCCTGGCACCGCCTCCCGAACCGCGCGCAGGCGGTCCGAGCCGCGCGCGGGCCTGGCGCAGCCCGTACGGGCCGCGCGCGTGCCTGGCGCAGCCCGTACGGGCCGCGCGCGGGCCTGGCGCAGCCCGTACGGGCCGCGCGCGGGCCTGGCGCAGCCCGTACGGGCCGCGCGCGGGCCTGGCGCAGCCCGTACGGGCCGCGCGCAGGCCTGGCGCAGCCCGTACGGGCCGCGTGCCGGGTGTACGGGCCGCGTGCAGGCCACGACGGGCGACGGGGGGCGACGCGCGGGTCCCCGTCGCCCGTCGCAGCGCCTCCCGGGGGCGACGTGCCGAGTGACGGGGCAGGAACCCGTCGCGCGCCTCGGGGCACACGGCGGGCAGAAAACCGCCGCGCGCCTCGGGGCGCACGGCGGGCAGAAAACCGCCGCGCGCCTCGGGGCGCACGGCGGGCTGAAAACCCTAGTTTCGACGCCGCGCACCACGGGGCGCGCGGCGGACAGGGAGTAGCAGTAGCAGCGGAAGCAGTGAAGTGGGCCCACAGGCCAGGAACGTTAAGCTCTAATACCATGTCGTGATAGTAGGTATACTGAGGAGCCATAGCTAGGGTTGACCTAGCTAGGCAAGAGAGAATGAAGGCAAAAGAGAGGACTGAACTAGCAAGAATGGGGATACAAATAGCAAACCCTAGAAGGGTTGTACTCGCTACAGAGCACCCCACTACAGGCTAGAGCATAATATTCTGACAAAACATCTATATAAACAAGCCCCATCTCCAATTACATGCTTTCTACGAAACACAAACCTTTTCTTCAACGCACCATCCATAGAAGTCCCCGTGAAAAGCTCCATCTCCAATCTCAACGAAGTGCACACGTAAAACTCTCCACGCCAATCTGACTACGAACACTGAAAAAAAAAAACAAACAAACAAACAAACACAAATGGTTGCATGGTTATCAAGTAAAATGAAGCTTTTCAAAAATATCAGATCAACAATACCAAGAACAAACTTTCTACAAAACAATTAATATAAATTTCATAATAAAATATTGCACATCAAACAAACATAACAAGTAACATTTACTATCCAAATTTATATACATTAAATAAAAAAATGCAAATTATCTACTTGAATCACCCACATCCACCAACACCCACGAACTGAGCCCAATTCATGTATAAAAATCCACTTGAATCTACCCACATCCACCTGAATCAAACTGCAAGCGTCAACGCAGCGCACGTTTCTCTCCCGCCTCCAGCCTAACCTCCGTCTAATTCAACGCTCTTCACATTGAATAAAATATCAAACACATACATATGAAATTTGTGTAATTGGGTCAATATGATATTTATGTTTACATATGCTGAACAAGAACTTTCAATATCAAACGTACATGGGACTGGGCAAAACGTAGACCCTAAAGAGTCCACGTGCAGAAAGAAATAAAGAAGATTTATATTTGTTTTCGAAAATTACTTACTTTGCAAGTACTATGTACGAAAAACAAGACACACTGAACATCAAAGAAATGATAACGTTGATAAATCTTCACACAAAGATATTACCTCTACAGTTTTCAATGAGAAACATCAACCATATAAGAAGGAAAAAGAAAGCAAAGAAGATGGGGTAATGCTATGAACGTATAGTTTTTGTTGATACCGTAGCAACTATTCAACAAATCAAAATGCCACTCTGTATGTAACGAAAAACGAGAAAACCATGGTATAACAAATCATTGAGTTATTTGGAACAGAAAGAATAAACAGAAGCTAATACAATAGATAATAGCAGCTTTGAAAAAACACAAGATTTGTACCTTCAGATGATGAAAATCAGAGACCAGTCTTCACAAAAGACAATATTGGAAGCCCGTAGCTGACAAACGGCCCCAGCTGCACGGAAACTGTACAGCGCGAAAATTTCGAAAATTTCGCGCTGCTGACGTCAGCAATCGCTGTTCAAATTTTCCGCGATGCTGACGTCAGCAATCCCTCACGCGCGAAACAAAAACGCGTGACGCCAGCAGCGTCGTCAGAAATTTCCACGCAAATTACTTTCGACGCTGCTGACGTCACTACGTGCGGACGCGTTAAAATCTGCTGACGTCAGCAATTCAATTTTATTATAGTGCTGTCAAATATTTACACATACACAAACGTTTGCGAACTGAAATTGTATGAAACGCAACTACTACATATACACATTATCATCAAAATTTATTAACATATCCTTAACTATGTGTAAAAACATCTGTATTTAAAAATCATTTTAAAACTTGGAAATTACACAATTCACTAAAATCTATTAACAACAAAATTATCAAAGTCGTTTAAATTCAAACGCATGTTACAGCCTGTTGCTTCGCAACCCTAAGACGATTTCGTCGCCTCTTGTTATTGCTCTATTCAATCAGACTCGCGTGCATAAAACGAATCAGTCTGTGTTTGTTTGCTGCAGGGTGGAATTTCCCCCGAACACTTGTGCTCTGACCGCTCGAATAAGCATGTCAGGATGTGTCAGCAATCGATCGCTGATTGGTTGAAGCTTTGTTCCACATCGCCCCAGTCGGAGCCGACATGCGGTCTGCTCGAGGCGCAAGCGTTGCAGTTATTCGAGCCGCGTGAACACATGTGACTGAAATTCATCGGAAATTCTCATCAGCTCCAGCCAGCATTTGCTTGTGTTACACCAGTCGACCCTCCCTTGCAGGTCCCTCACATTTCGCTCTCGTTAGATGATTCCATAAACAGGTCTCACGCATTCCGGCATACAGGTTCAAGTAGGTTAGTAGAGTCCAGGTCCGACTGCTCTTCCGCTTCCTGCTTCTGGTCATTCGAGCAACGCACAGTGACGTTAGGGAGGAGATCAGATGCTGGAATAGGTCCCTGTCACGGTTCTTGTTTCGGGGCCGTCTCAAACCCAGACCCTGGCTAAGGTTCCTCAACAAAGATGAGTCGCTCGTCCATCCCGAGGCGCGCCTCTTGGGCCCTCCTAGTCGCGCTTCTCGTTTTCTGCCTCTCACATGCCCCTCCCGCGTTGGCGGTCTCGGGATCGCTCTACTCTCCGAGCTCACCATCCATACACACCCATCATAAGAACCCATTCTCTGCGTTTCGGGACTACTTCGCGGATAAATCAGGGCTATTTCGATCAAATCACGCGCTTGACCATCCTGAAGCGGTTATTGGACCTCCGACTAACGAGTCTGTGAGACCGTTCACTCGATCTTTGCAGTCCTCTTCTTCCTCTCTCTCCGATTGCCCCTTCACCACCACAAATCCCCTCCACACCTGCGCCATGGGCTACGCCGCATCTTCCGGCGTGACCGGCGGGTACGGGAAGCATGCCTACGTGGTGACCAACGCCGACGACTCACTCCCAGTCGGCACCAACGGCTCGTTGCGATGGGGATTAACGCGCGCCTATGCCGCTGCGGGAACCAACGGCATCTACATCACGTTCGCGAAGAAAATTGACGTTTTGCTCCTTGGGCCGCTAGCGGTGCCGTCGGGCACGACAATCGACGGGCGGGGAGTCGCCGTCCGGCTGTTCGGGTCGTCCGTCGTGGTTCGCAACGCCCGGAATGTGATTGTGCACAATATCGAAGGTAGGGTCGAGTGATGGGTAATCATGTACCGCAACATGTTCGAGATGTGCAATTTCCAACATTCTTCTTTGTGAATCTTCGTTCTTGGGGAACGTAAACCGGCCCGTCGATCGCCCCTAACCCTTCCTACTTCTACGCCCCTTCCACTCCCAATCATGCGATACCCCTCCAATATTCAGTGCAAAGCGTGCAGTTCCCCAACGTCAATAGCGGCGTGAGCATCATCGACAGCACGGTGGTGTGGGTGGATCACGTGCGGGTGCGCGACGCTGTACCGGGGGCAGTGGAGGTCGTTGGCACCAGCGCGGGCAGCGCCGGGAGTGTGACAATATCGAACTGCCACCTGAGAAACGTGTACCTGCCCGGTGTGATGATAAGGGGGCCTGGAGCAGGATCGCTCGGTAGCATCGTCAGCACCCAGAGCTCCAACAGCAGCGGCGGAAGCGGGGGAGGCGGAGGGAGCGGCGGAAGCGGCGGAAGCGGGGGCAGCGGCAGTGGAGGCGCAGGAAGCAGCAATAGCAGCAGCAGCGGCGCTGGAAGCGGCGGCGATGGCGGGAGCAGTAAAAGAAGGAAGACGCAGGTGACCAGCGGCAGCAGCAAGAGCAGCGGGAATGGCACCAAGACGACGGGCAACACGAGCACTAACAGCAGCACCATCAGTTCAGGCACCACCAAGTCTACAAGCCCCCCTAAAAGCGCGACCTCACCTCCTAAAAGCCCTAGCTCCCCGCCCAAAAGCCCAACCTCTCCCCCAAAAAGCCCTAGCTCCCCGCCGAAAAGTCCAGACTCTTCGAAAGCGCCGAGCGCGCTGAAGACAGCGAGCCCACCAGGCGGCGCGAGCACCAGCACACAGAGCGCCAGCGGCAGCACCGCTCCTCCGCTGACCGTGACGCTCTTTCGAAACTGGTTTGACTCGAACGACAACGCCAACCCCCAATGCGCTGCCGCCACGTGTCACCTCGCGAATAACCTGCTGTCGAATTGGCGAACGTGGTGCATCCAGGCGAAGCTCGCGGCGAACGTTCGGTCAGAAGGAAACATATTTCTTGCCGCCGGGCAGAAAGACGCGGCGCGATCAGACGGCTCCTCGATGGTTTCTCTAGGAGACAGGCTTGGGAACGGCGCGGTGTTTAACTCGCAAGGGACGGGCGTGGTATTCACTCCGCCATATTCGATCACACTCGCGGCGCCTGACACGGCGCTAGAGAGCTTCATTCAGCAGTCCGCGGGTCCGCGCGTCATGGCGCGTCCGCCCGTGCAGCCGCCCCCGCCCCCTGCTTCTCCGCCGCCTCTCCCCAAATCTCCCCCTCCTGTGCAATCTCCGCCTCCCCCGCCCGCGCCCCTCACTAATATTAACATGAATCCTCCGCGTTCCCCGCGCACCCCCCCTCGGTACCCCCCTGTTTCTTCTACGCCACCACCGACAAACTCTCCACCGGCGCCCCCCGCTCTCCCGTCCGCGGACCTCCCTGACGCGCAGTGCGCGTTCAATACGGATTTGCCGCTGCACAATTGCTCTCTAGGGTTTGCGCAGGGTGTGCTGGGGGGATACGGGCGCAGCGAATATGTGGTTACCATCGCCAACGATAGCATCATCGCGCCTGTGGAGGGTTCGCTAAGATGGGGTTTGCAGCAGTACAGGGACGGAGTGTACATTCGGTTCGATTCGTCTATGACAATTAATCTCAAAGGAAGACTGTTCATATCATCTTACACAACGATTGATGGACGAGGAGGGCAGATTCGCATCATGGGAGACACTATCGTGGTGCAATCTGCGCAGCATGTGATTATACACAATATTGAAGGTAAGAGCAGGGCGTGGTATCTGCTCGTGTCACTTTCACATCACCTTCTCTCTTTCCTGTTCCCCAACCTATTCTCCCTCATCCTCTCTCAAACTCTCTCCCTCGTTTTCATTCCCAACACTGCATCATCTTCCCACCTGATCGACCCCCTCGATTTCTGTCATCCCCCATCTCACACCCCCCCCCTTCTCTGACTTCCAGTGGGCGAGGTCGACCCAGCCCCGTTCGGCACTCAAGACGGCATAGCGATACGGGCCAGCAGCATGGTGTGGGTGGATCACTGCCTCGTCCAAAACGCACCCTTGGGAACCGTTGATCTCCTTGCTTCCTCAGACGCTGTCACTGTCTCGTACTGCCACTTCTCCAACTACCTCCTCCCACTCTCCTCCGCCAACGCCACGTCAGCACCGCCCTCCGATGACCCAACAAGCCCAGGCTCGGGAGTAGGCACGGGCACGAACACAGGCACGGGCACGGATGGGGATGGGGCTACCGGAGAGCCTGATGCGGCTCGGGTTACGTACTTTGGGAATTTCTTTGAGGGGCCGTCAGCACCCATGCTGCACTGCCAGGCGTCGCTGTGCCACGTGGCAAACAATCTGTTTGCCAACTGGACCGACACGTGTATCGTCGCGCGCGGAGGCGCGTCGGTGCGATCGCTCAATAACGTGTATGCCAGCACGGCTACAGGGGCGGCGGGGATTGTAACCGCAAATGCGGACGGTGCGAGTTACTTCGTAACGAGCGGGGATCTGCTGAGGAACGGAGTGCGGTTTGTGGTGAGTTTGCCGCCAGGAGTCAGTGGGAGTGCTGACATGCCCCCTCTGCCCTACTCCCTGCCAATAAGCAAAGCTGATTCGAGTCTTCCAGGCATGGTCAAGGGGAATTCAGGGCCTCAGTTCTGATGACTAACACGTCAACTCAATTACCAGACGGAGTTGCCGTCCACTCCTAGAGCTGCCTTTGTACCATAGCCAGGGAATATACTTTGTTGAAGTGGTCAAAATGGGTCTAATAGGATGCAGCATGGTGGGTTGGCAATCGACATGATACATGCAAACTGACTGAACACAGGGAGGTTCACTATAACTTGTGTGCACTGCCACTGCCCATTTCAAGGGAGCAACGGAAGATTCTAGGGAGGTAGAAGCTGCAAGGGCGTAAGTAGACGATTCTTGCTGTCACACGGCTGCTGTGTGCTCATGTAGCGCTGCCTGTGGGTGCACGAGTGCAGAGCAGAGCAGCGCATGGCAGCAGTCAAGCAGGCCCCACAGCGACTCGGCGCGGGCCCAGGTCCTGCCGGGGGCGCTGGGGACACACGTGGGCGGGTGGGGGTGGGGGTGGGGGTGCAAGAGGGGGAGGGGAAGGCGGTGGTCTGAGTTAGTGCAGCCGGTGTGTGCTGTGCAGTCAAGCAGGCCCCACAGCGACTCGGCGCGGGCCCAGGTCCTGCCGGGGGCGCTGGGGACATGCATGCACAGGGGGAGAAGATAGGGGAAGGGGGCAGGGGGTGAGACGTGGGTGCGGGGGAGAGGAGGTGTGTGATAAAAGGCATGGATTGGGTGTGTGGGGAAGTGAGAAGAAAGGCAGCAGGTGCACGTGGCATGGGAGAGTTCTTTGCTTCAAGTCAACATGGCATCCATGACAGAATGGTAGCATGGCAGCACGTAAAGTGCGTCTATCCATCTAAATATCAGCAGGGCAGAACACGGCTATGACTCACGGAGTTGAAGGCAAGTGTGCGTCGGTCGCCCACGTAGCTCAGGAACTCCAACACCTGGCTGTCGGGCACCTTGAGAGGGGCGGCTGTGAGGGGGAGGAGGAGAGAACGAAGGAAAGGCAGGGAAAGAAGAGACGATTGAGTTTGGGAATGCATTGCAAGCAGCACAGCCGCCCACGAAGCTCAGGAACTCCAACACCTGGCTGTCCGGTACCTTGAGGGAGGTGGCTGGGAGAAGGGGGAGAGAGAGGAGAGGAGAGGAGAAAGAGGAGAAGAGGCTGAGCTAAGAGCCTGCCCCTAAAGTCAGAGCAAGCAGGGTTGGCCAGGGATCCAACCCACCCCCCTCTACCACTCACTTACCCCTCTCCGCCACTCACCACTCCCCTCACCAACTTACCAAGCACGAACCAGTCGACCACGTCAGAGCAGGCAGGGTCCGCCAGGGAGCCCTGGTAGTGAATGTACGAGTGTGAGGCGTCCTGAGGGGTACAGAGGGGTAGAAGGACAGAGGAAAGAGGTGGAGAGAGGTCAAGACATGTCCTAGGAGCGTGCGCAGGATGTATGTGTGTGGGGCAACCACTTACAAATCTACATGTACATGCATATGCAGTAACACATGAAGAGAGAAAGAGAAGAGGGGTGGTGGGACTCACATGCGCAGGCACTGCTGCAGAGCGAGTGACAGTTCCCATTAGTGTGAGGAATATGGGTGGTGGTGATCCTCACAGGTCTATCAGTGGGCGGTAGCAGCGGCTGCGGGCTGGTCTGCACGCGCAGGCACTGCTGCAGGGGGGAGCGAGCGCCCATATCAGAGGGTGGTGGTACTTACACTCAGTTGGTGGGTGGTATTACTCACAGGTCTATCAGTGGCTGGCAGCAGTGGCTGCGGGCTGGTCTGCACGCGCAGGCACTGCTGCAGGGCGGAGCGAGCACCCCCCCTGCCCACCACTGCCACCTCCAGGCACTCCTGGGGCGCCGATCTGGGGTGAGGGGAAGGGGGGTGATCGGGGGAAATAATTGGGGAAATGAGTGAGAGGGAGCAGCAGGGGCGGAGCGAGCTTCACTCCTTGCCCAGCGCCACCTCCTCCAGACACTCTTGGGGCGCTCCTCTGGTTTGGGGGCAAGGGGAGCAGCGAGAGGGGCATGAGAGAGGGGAGTGAGAGAGGGAGATGGAGGGGTGAGGGGCGAGACCAGCAGGGACATGCCTGTGCCCACCAATACCACCTCCAAACACTCCTGGAGCACTGCACCTGTCACTCTTGAGAAGGAACGGGGTGGCGCAATGAGAGAGGGGGAGTGTGGGGGCACAGTGAGCGAGGAGGATGGGAGCGCCCCTTGCTCTTAAAATCAGACGCTCTCCACGCACGTTGGGCATGGGCATGGGGCAGTTTTTGAGAATTCTCAAAAACCAGCTCGTATCATATGATCTCCCTTTTCCTCGTTTTTTACTCGCTTGGAAGTTACCAAAAAAGTTACAGAACTTTTTGGTTAAAGCGAGATTCTCCTCAAGAAAGCAATGTGATTCAATTTCTCTGCCAGGTAGGTAACCGCTGCATGACAAGAAGGAACTTACTTGCCAGCTTTACTGTTTGGAAGCGCGACCCATCAAGACGACGAAGCGCGACCCATCAAGACAGACGAGGCGCCAAGCAATGTTGTGTGCAATGTCTGAATCTTTGTGCTAGGTTTCTTACGAGACACGGAACTGCTAGGTACAAGTAGTGGATGTTAGGTAGAGGGCAAGTTTAGTAGGATTCGGAAACGCCGATGAAGGCCCAAAAAGCCGAAACGCGCGTTCGATTTCTGAACCTCTTGTAATCTGCCTTTAATACACTGCGTTTACCTACACGTGTCTCGCCTAGTACTTAGTGATTTTTACTACTCAAGATTAGTTAGGTCGGTCGAACCGAGCTTGCAGCTTTCTACCCGTTTTTCTAGTTTGAGAGAATCGCCAATGCAGCCCTCAGATACTGGATGGTGGCCACGCCTGCATTCCTGCTTGCACCTGTCACTCCAACCCGTCCCACTTCCACTATTTCCGCTCACTCACGCCCACGGCGAACGCCAGAACCGCCTCCCCCCCCCCCCCATGCGCAACAGGGCGAATGCACACGTTGCGTGTGTTGATGTGCCGTGCTTACCTCCCCGTCCCCCCCTCTCCTGGCCCCAGTGTACCCATAACCCTAGCATCGTCACCTCTTGAGCGAGCCATCATCCCGTGCCCGTGCACAGGTTGGAGAAGAAGAAGCAGATGGTGAACTCACATCTGCTTGTTCTTCTCGCTCGGCGCGAATGCCAGAGCAGCCTCCAGGCACAGGTTGCGCGGGGCTTGTGGGTCCGCCTCTATCATCACTCTGTGATTGAGGGGAGGGGAGCGGGCGTTGGGGGAGCATTAGGGGGCCATTTGGGGGAATGCCAGAGCCGCCTCCAGGCACAGGTTGCGCGGCGCCTGTGGGTCCGCCTCTATCATCACCCTGGCCGGGGGGGAGCGGGGGGGAGGAAGAGGGGGGCGTGCGAGGGGGAGAGTTAGGAGGGCATTGGGGCATTGGGGGAGAGAGAGGCGTTGGTGCGGCATTGGGGGAGAGAGGGGCATTGGTGGGGCATTGGGGGAGAGGGGCATTGGTGGGGCATTGGGGAAGAGGAGAGGGGCATTGGTGGGGCATTGGGGGAGAGGAGAGGGGCATTGGTGGGGCATTTGTGGGGGGGTTGACAGAGGATTTGGGAGGGGAGAGATTGGATGAAGCTAAGTATGCACGGAGAGGAGGATGAAATTGGATCAGGTGAAGCAGTGTCATGAAAGTGGGTGTAGAACCGCGAACTCGTTCAGAACTGAGCCACGTGATTAAAACGACCGGCAGCTTTACCAGCAGGGGGTGGCGACTCACCCAATGACTGCCAGCTTGCCGTCAGCATCACCTGCACGGTATCGAACGAGGGTGGGGGAAGGTGGGGTATAGCGCGCATGGGAGAAATGAGCTTGAGGTACGAATGATGGGAAGAAGTTAAGTCATGGGACTCAGACGGAATTGGGGGGGGGGGATGAGGGGGTGAGAATGGATGGTGGCTGGGAGCAGCAATGACGCCGTGATCCACACAAACAACGACCGCCGCCCGCCCAATCACCCAAGCAACCACAGTATCGCAACGTTCCTCTCTATAGCCCCTCTCCACAGTCCCCCGCTACAGTCCCCCCGCTACGGGCCCCTCGTTGGACGTACGGTGCACGAGGTGCGCCTCCATGGGGCAGCGCACGCCGTTGAAGGAGTGCTCGCTGGGCGCGTGGAAGTGGTACTGTAGCAGCTGCAGCTGCCGCCCGCCCACCGCGCACGTGTTGCTGCCGCCCGGGAAGTTCACCTGTGGGCGGCGGGAGTGAGCGGTTTAGAGGAGATAAACCATTGGTGAGAGGCATTGTTGAGAGGGGTCGAGAACAGCGAGGAGAATGGGCGAATGAACGACTCGCCTGCATTGTGCCGTGCCCCGTGTTGAGGAACGACGCGTCGGCGTTCTTATACGCGAATGTGATATTGCCGAGGCTGTTGTCTCGCGTCAGCTTCGATACCGCGTTCAGCGGGGCGCTGGTTGCGGACTGCGCCGCGTCGCCCGCCGAGCACAGATCGCCCCATTCCATCGGCCCGGAGTTGTCGGCCTTGCTCGAATCAGCGGCCAATGCGGCCCCGATAGAGGATACCCCGTTAGAGTCACAAATGGGGCAGCCCACGACCGCCGCCATTCCCGCCGCAAGTCCGCCGAGGATCAGCCGCCGATTGACGACGCGCCGGCCAGTGTGACCGTGAGAGGCGCTGGGCTCTGCGGCGGCCGCCTTTCCGTCTTTCGCGGCGCAGTGGACGGCAATGGCGGAGCCGTTATTGGCGGATGGGAGGGGAGCTGCGCAGGCGGCGAGGCTAACCGGCCGGCCGAGCATCTCGCATTTCTCCAGAGATGATTGGACGCAGGCGGCCAGCGGCGCGCGAAGCGACGAGGAGGTGGCAAGAGCAGCCATTAGGAACCGAACTCAACGGAGAAAAGCTAATCGTGTAAATCTTAGCTGCCCTTTTTGCCTTGCCAGCACCCTTGAGCGGTTCATATCGCATGAGAGGTCGATTGGAAGTCGTGGCTGGGTGGGAGAGTTTCCATGAGTGGCTTGAGCTGATGCACGAAGGGTTGGAGCTTGAAGGGCAGTGTAAAATTCCAAAAGCACCCACCGTGACTTTCTTAGGACCGCGTTCACGTGGTGGACCAGAGAGGGTTGGGTTTTCGAAAGTCTGGTATTTCTTTCAGCACTGCTGAAAACGACCCTAAGCGTCGACATAAGAAAAATAGTTTCAGTGCCCGCCATCTCAAGAACGTGAGCTTCGCGAAATCTACGGTTCTCGGTCTGCTTCCAGCCAGTCGATCAATATCCAACATCCATTTCCGAATCGCGCATTCGATGCGTAAGCCATGTCATCAGGAACACGAGGTTTGATCTCCACGTGGTATATCCTACTTACTGCAAGGCTTCGATACTGCTGATAAAATTTAAGTAGGAATGGGTTTGCTCGTGTGTATGTACATACAGAATACCATTCACGCAAGGATGCAAACTTCGACCAGCATAAGGGCGATGTCAGGTTATACATTTCTCAAGCGTTTACAGTTCTTGTATTGTGGTTCAGGACGGTCCAGCAAGGTGAAAAGCGGTTCGAAGCTTGTACCGCTCTGCACCGTGTTGAAACAAAGTTAACCGTAGTAGTCATCCAGAAGGTTGTACAACCTGACCTCGCCCTAAACTTGATTCTCCTTTCCCGCATCCTATGATTGACCAGTCTGTGCTGGCAACACCTCGCTTGAATCACCACCACCTCCTCCACGCAGTGGTGGAGAATCCGCGGCACGCGGGACTGGGGGAACCTTCGCCAGCCATTTCGTGTGTCGAATGAAGGTGATCCACGTGTTCAGTCTTGAGTTGTGCAAAGTCGCGCCAAAGCAGATTCAACCAAGCCCCTTGGAATTGCCGCTCGTGTAACCTGGGGTGCGGGTAGCTCTTCCCCAAGCAGTGCCCCTCCGACCAAAGCTGAATTGGGGGGAAGAAGCAAAACTACACGGGAGAGATCAGAGGAAACCAGCTCCAGCTGCAGGGAGGGCGCGGTTGCGTTGATCTGGTTTCGGCTGCGCTCTGTCGGCTCAGCCATGGCGTCTAGCGCTTTCGAAACGTACTGGAAGGTAGGATCGAGTAACTTGGGGAGCAGACGCGTTTTTCTCGGCTTGGTATCTGACGTGAGCGGCACCCTCTGCAGGTTCTGACCGACAACTTCACAGACTTCCAGCTGGCGACCATCGGAAGCTTCCTGATCCACGAGTGCGTCTTTTTCATGTCCGGACTTCCTTATCTCATCCTCGAGAATTTAAATGTTCGAAAATACAAACTCCAGGTGCGTCGACATTCCGTTGGTCTCGTGGTATGGCTCCATTAGCAACTTAGGTTGGGATCTGAGCGTGGTTCGTGTCATTGCAGAAAAAGTCGAATCCGGCATCATCACAGATCAAATGCGTGTTGAAGCTTCTGATGTACCACTGCCTGGTCAACCTACCGCTGATCATGGCGTCCTACCCAGTCTTTAAGTACATGGGCTTCAGAAGCACGCTTCCTCTCCCGCACTGGTAACTCTTCCGCTCGCTTTGCAGTTTGCATAGGTAGATCGCCTCGTCTAGTGTAGTAAGCGTTCTCACCTTTCACGACTACGCTTGCAGGAGTACCATTGTTACCCAGATCGTTAGCTATTTCTTTATCGAGGATTTCGTGTTTTACTGGGGTCACCGTGCGCTGCACTCGAAATGGCTGTACCAGAACGTCCATTGCGTCCACCATGAGTGAGTGCCGCTGTCAGTCCCTTCCCGTTACTCTCCTTCCGCCTCCCGCCTGCTAAGTCTCCTTTTCCTCTCCCTCTTTGAGTCTTTAGATACGCGACGCCGTTCGGGTTGACATCGGAGTACGCGCATCCCGCGGAAATCCTCTTCCTAGGGTTCGCCACCATTCTCGGCCCCGCCCTCACGGGCCCACATCTGCTCACCCTTTGGCTCTGGATGAGCCTTCGAGTCCTCGAAACCGTTGAAGCACACAGCGGGTTCGAGTTTCCCTGGAGTCCGTCCCGCTTCATTCCCCTCTACGGCGGGTAAGTTCATTTCACACCAGATCATGCAACTATACCTTCGTTCTGCGAAGTCCTCTGAGCGTGAAGCTACTCGTTATGGCTGCAGGGCGGAGTACCACGATTATCATCACCGCTGCGTGTACACAGACTCGGGCAACTATTCGTCCACGTTCATCTACATGGACTGGTATGCGGGCTTGAATTGCTCGCTCGCACATATGGTACATGTGGTATGATGCCCTCTGATTGTGAGCTATGTGTTGTGCAGGATCTTTGGGACTGACAAGAACTACAGGAGAATGAAGGCTTTGAAGGCAGGCACTGCCAAGGACGAGGCTCCTACTACCAATGGTACGAAGAAGGACTCTTAGGCTAGAAAAGTTGCTCTTTGGACTGCAACTTTGCGTTGCAAGCTCTGCAAGGCGTGGTGATATCCACGCCCTCACTGCGGGCGTGTTAGGTGGCTTGTTCATGCATTTCAGATAGTTTTCAGTCAGTCACGTCACATCTATATTTTCATACATACCAGTTGAAGCACAATGGTGGGGCAATTAGTCCCTAGATCCGACCAGTCTGCTGCTCTCTCCCTACCCCCACTCTTTGTTCATAAGATCCCAACCCAACGTCTGTAATGTAAAAGACGGCAGGTGGATGATGGAATGGAATGGTATGTCATGAAGCCCATGAGGGGGGAAGATGAGGATGGAGTGGGTAGAGTTGAACCAGCAGTAAAATCCGTGTGGAAAGGAAAGGAGTGAGAAGAATTAGAGGCTGAATCACTGAGGGTTTTGAATGTTGTGGAGGCATGTTTGCCATAGTGATGTGGGCGAGTGCTTACGCTGGAAACTGTTTGTACGAAAAGATTGGGGAAATTGGAAGTGCCGGGAGGGATGGATGTGAAAAGAGATGGGTATGGGCAGAATCTGAAAGCGGAGGATCTTCTCTCTCCCTAATGATGTAATCCAAAACATAAGCTTGATACTAAATGAAACCCATGAACGTGCTATGTAAGCTGAGATAGTTGTGTTCAAAAAGTGTACTACAACGCACTGATGGGGCTATGTTCGCGCTTCAGCGGATCCCACATCCACCTCATCGCCTCTGTCATTCCGATTCCTCGCATCCTGCCACCATTCGCGCTCGACCTTTGACTGATCCTGATTTGCCTCTTTCCACGATCATCCGAGGACTTTGATCATCGTAGCATTTTTGCAGCGCGCGTTTGTTTCCGCGCTCATTGCCGCGCTGCCGAGCAGCATCAACCCTACTAATTCAGCAGCAACGGCTCTCGGGACAGTAAATAACGTTTGAAGCTCAAACGGGTCCTGCGACGGTCAAGTTTAGGGTTACAGACGACTCGATGTCGGGAAGAAATTTGGTAGTTGTGAAATAGACGAGCTGGCTAAGGTTAAGTAAAAGGCCGTCGCTCTTCAGGCCAGCTGGCGGCTCGCCGGCTGATGCGGCGATGACTGGGCCGCTGCCGTCGCCAGCCAATCGCACGCGGTTCAAGACGCCGGAAGGGCGATACTTGCTGTCGCACGAGAAGGTTCATCCTGCCGGCCTTATCCAATACACCCATCAGCGCAATCCCACCAAGGTACCACGCCCTCTCCACCTATTCCTTCCAGATCCTCCGATACAACGGCCAGGGATCACAACACTCTCTCACGTTTCGCGAGTATAGAAGACAATGGCATTCCGCACCCTCCCGCTGTTTCAGTCACGTAGCTGCATCGGCCGTGTCCCACTCACGCGGCTGTCGAGACGATTCCTCAGAATCTGGTTCCTCGATCGATCTGCATCAAACATTCCGTGTTGCCCCTCGCATTACTTTTCCCCGTACCTCTTTCAACCGCGCCCTTTCCTTTACCCCATCCCTACCTCCCCCCCCCCCCTCTCCCCCAACTCCCCAACCCCCCCTCCCCCCTTCCCCATCCTTTGGCCTCCCCCTCCTCCCCCCCCGCCCCTCCCCATGCCCGCCTCCCCCGCGCAGATCACGTTAGCGCATCTCGAGGACCGCCCTCCGCCCCTCCCCCCTCCGTCGCCGTCACCCGTTGCCACGTCAGCAGGTTCCAGATTCGCCAAGAACTTCTTAGGGGCGGGGAGCGGCACGCGAGGACTGCCCTTCGGCGGCGGAAATGGCCGTCAATCAGGTGAGATTAACCGTCAGTCAGGTAAGAGTGGCCGCTGCTGATGGCCCGTCAGTAGGGTGGGATTGGCAGTCAGTCAGACCGTTCATTCTCTCACCCCCTTGGCAGACTTCCTCGTTAACAGCATCTCCTGCACGCCCTCCCCTTCCCCCTCGTACTCCCCCTGCCTCCGCTCCTCCCGCACCCCCCTCCTTTCCCCCTTCCACCTTCCCCCCCAAACCCCCCATTCCCCGCCCCACACTTCCCTGTATCTCCGCCTACTCCGCCTTCCCACCATTCTCCCCCCGATTGCAGCAACGGCGCCAGCAGCCAGTGGCTCATCGGCGGGCGCGGGGACTGCAGGGGGGAGCAACGGGGCGGTGGGGGGAGCAGGCGGAGGGGGAGGGGCGGGGGAGAAGGAGAAGGCGGGGGGCGAGGGCGAGGGGTCGTACGTGATCTTTAACGTTGGCGAGTCACTCTTTGTTGCGGACGCCAACAGCACAGACAAGGTGGGGACGGGGGGAGGCGCGAGGGTGGGGCTGGGTGGGGTGCACTATATCCCTTCGGTCCATCACACTTCCCCTCTCTGTTGCTCGTAACCTCTCTTCTCTTCTCCTCTCTTCCCGTATTTCACCTCCTCCTCCTCTCTCTCAACTCCTTCTCCCATTCTCCCTCGCACGTCTCATCACTCCCGTCTGCCAGGAGCCACTGAAGGCGCTGCAGTTAACGGGGGCGAGTGGCTGTGCCACGCCCATGGCGCTTGTTTGAGACGTCTTGTATCCCCCTCTCGTCCCCTCCCCCAACCCCTCCCCCAACCCCTCCCCTCTCCCCTCCCTTTCCTTCCCCAGGAGCCACTGAAGGCGCTGCAGTTCATGGGGTCGAGCGGGCTGTGCCACGCGTTTGACGGTGCAGTGGCGAGCAGAAGCACACTTTTGACACATCCCAACTCTGCGGTTTCTCCCCCATCTACCCCTCCTCCCAGGAGCCCTTAAAAGCGCTGCAGTTCATGGGGGCGAGCGGGCTGTGCCACGCGTTTGACGGAGCAGTGGCGAGCAGGGACGCTCAGGGCACGGCGGGCAGAGACGCACACGACCTGCTCATCGCCACCACTGCTGGCGACAGTGAGTGCCGCCTCCCACTCCTCCCACTCTATCCCTCTCCCATGCTCGCACCCCAGCCACTTACCCCATGCCAGCTGCTTACCCCATGCCAGCTGCTTACCCCATGCCAGCTGCTTACCCCATGCCTGCCTGCACCTGCCCCTCCTTGGCCCTTTTTCTCTCCCGTTCCAGTCTACACGGCGTCCCCAAGGGCGCAGCTAGCAGACGGCAGCAAGAAGCTGATGGGAGCGACACGGTATCAACTCACCTCAGTGTCAACCCTCCTTTTCCCACCCCTCCTGCCATCCTTTCCCCCCAATCCCCCCTCTCTTCCCCCCCTCTCCCTTCTCTTCCGCCCCCAGTCTACACAGCATCACTGAGGGCGCAGCTAGCAGACGGCAGCAAGAAGCTGGTCAGTGCAGCACACTACAGCCCGCGGGACGGCAGCGGCAGCAGCAGCGGCAGCGGGGGGGGCAGCAGCGGGGGGGGCAAGGAGAGCAGCGGCGGCAGCAGCAGCCGATGCACGGCGGTGGCGTGGGTGCCGGGGGGCCATGGGCTGTTTGTGACGGCGCATGCGGATGGGAACGTTTATGTCTTTGACAAGGTGGGACGCACATTTCTGTACGAATCCGTGTCACGGCGTGGCGTGCCGTGCCATGCCATGTTTGCGGTCATACAGATGTACTGCTAATGCTGTATGGACGACTTCTCGCATTTGCCCTTGTGTCTGTTCCTTGCTTGTCCTCCCAACCACCTCGCATCCTCGTTCCCAACTCCCCAATCCTAACCGCACCCCATCCCTCCCTGCCCCACAGCACCGGGACGGCACCACGGAGCCGGGCTTTCCCCCCATCAAGGACGTGCATGCCTTCTCCACCGCTCATGCTCGCTCCAACAAGGTGCGCCGCGCCTGCATGCATGCACGGTACCAGGCCCTAGCGCCCCTTTGATTCGACTCAAAAGCACCGGGATGGCACCACGGAGCCAGGCATCCCACCGTTCATGCGCGCTCCAACAAGGTGCGGCACCCGATGCCCAGTGGCACCTGCTTGCACTGGTGGCAAACAGTGAATGAATCGACTCACGTCAGCTGTCCCGGTGCCTGCATGCATGCCACCTTGCACCGTCCCTGTCGCACTGAGGTGAGAGCAATCACTCATCCCTCCTGCCCCCTGTAAGCATCTCCTAAGGCAACCCAAATGCCCGGCAGTACACTTGCCCACAACTGCATGCCCCCTGTGCACCATCAGCATCAGCATCAGCATCAGCAACAGCATCAGCATCAGCAACAGCATCAGCATCAGCATCAGCATCAGCAACAGCATCAGCAACAGCATCAGCATCAGCATCAGCATCAGCATCAGCATCAGCATCAGCATCAGCATCAGCATCAGCATCAGCATCAGCAACAGCATCAGCATCAGCAACAGCAACAGCATCAGCATCAGCAACAGCAACAGCATCAGCATCAGCATCAGCATCAGCATCAGCATCAGCATCAGCATCAGCAACAGCATCAGCAACAGCATCAGCATCAGCATCAGCAACAGCATCAGCATCAGCATCAGCATCAGCAACAGCATCAGCAACAGCATCAGCATCAGCATCAGCATCAGCATCAGCATCAGCATCAGCAACAGCATCAGCATCAGCAACAGCAACAGCATCAGCATCAGCAACAGCAACAGCATCAGCATCAGCATCAGCATCAGCATCAGCATCAGCATCAGCATCAGCATCAGCAACAGCATCAGCAACAGCATCAGCATCAGCATCAGCATCAGCATCAGCATCAGCATCAGCATCAGCAACAGCAACAGCATCAGCATCAGCATCAGCATCAGCATCAGCAACAGCATCAGCATCAGCATCAGCATCAGCATCAGCATCAGCATCAGCATCAGCAACAGCATCAGCATCAGCATCAGCATCAGCATCAGCAACAGCAACAGCATCAGCATCAGCATCAGCATCAGCATCAGCAACAGCAACAGCATCAGCATCAGCATCAGCATCAGCATCAGCAACAGCATCAGCATCAGCATCAGCATCAGCATCAGCATCAGCATCAGCATCAGCAACAGCATCAGCATCAGCATCAGCATCAGCATCAGCATCAGCATCAGCATCAGCATCAGCATCAGCAACAGCATCAGCATCAGCATCAGCATCAGCATCAGCAACAGCAACAGCATCAGCATCAGCATCAGCATCAGCATCAGCATCAGCAACAGCATCAGCATCAGCATCTGCATCAGCATCAGCATCAGCATCAGTATCAGCATCAGCAACAGCATCAGCAACAGCATCAGCATCAGCATCAGCATCAGCATCAGCAACAGCATCAGCAACAGCATCAGCATCAGCATCAGCATCAGCATCAACATCAGCATCAGCATCAGCATCAGCCACAGCATCAGCATCCGCATCAGCATCAGCATCAGCATCAGCATCAGCATCAGCAACAGCATCAGCAACAGCATCAGCATCAGCATCAGCATCAGCAACAGCATCAGCAACAGCATCAGCATCAGCATCAGCATCAGCATCAGCATCAACATCAGCATCAGCATCAGCATCAGCATCAGCAACAGCATCAGCATCAGCATCAGCATCAGCATCAGCAACAGCAACAGCAACAGCATCAGCATCAGCATCAGCATCAGCAACAGCAACAGCATCAGCATCAGCATCAGCATCAGCAACAGCATCAGCAACAGCATCAGCATCAGCATCAGCATCAGCATCAGCATCAGCATAAGCATCAGCATCAGCGCATCAGCGCATCAGATCACCGCACCAGCATCAGCGCATCAGCATCAGCATCAGCATCAGCGCATCAGCATCAGCGCATCAGCATCAGCATCAGCATCAGCGTCAGCATCAGCATCAGCATCAGCATCAGCATCAGCATCAGCAACAGCAACAGCAACAGCATCAGCATCAGCATCAGCATCAGCATCAGCAACATCATCAGCATCAGCATCAGCATCAGCATCAGCAACAGCATCAGCATCAGCAACAGCATCAGCATCAGCATCAGCATCAGCATCAGCAACAGCATCAGCAACAGCATCAGCATCAGCATCAGCATCAGCATCAGCATCAGCAACAGCATCAGCATCAGCATCAGCATCAGCAACAGCATCAGCATCAGCATCAGCATCAGCAACAGCATCAGCAATAGCATCAGCATCAGCATCAGCATCAGCATAAGCATCAGCATCAGCATCAGCATCAGCGCATCAGCGCATCAGATCACCGCACCACAGCGCATCAGCGCATCAGCATCAGCATCAGCATCAGCGCATCAGCATCAGCGCATCAGCATCAGCATCAGCGTCAGCATCAGCATCAGCATCAGCAACAGCATCAGCATCAGCATCAGCATCAGCAACAGCAACAGCAACAGCATCAGCATCAGCATCAGCATCAGCATCAGCAACAGCATCAGCATCAGCATCAGCAACAGCATCAGCATCAGCATCAGCAACAGCATCAGCATCAGCATCAGCATCAGCATCAGCATCAGCATCAGCAACAGCATCAGCATCAGCATCAGCATCAGCATCAGCAACAGCAACAGCATCAGCATCAGCATCAGCAACAGCATCAGCAACAGCAACAGCATCAGCATCAGCATCAGCATCAGCATCAGCATCAGAATCAGCATCAGCGTCAGCGTCAGCGTCAGCATCAGCATCAGCATCAGCATCAGCATCAGCATCAGCAACAGCATCAGCAACAGCATCAGCATCAGCATCAGCAACAGCATCAGCAACAGCATCAGCATCAGCATCAGCATCAGCATCAGCAACAGCATCAGCATCAGCATCAGCATCAGCAACAGCAACAGCATCAGCATCAGCATCAGCATCAGCATCAGCATAAGCATCAGCATCAGCATCAGCGCATCAGCGCATCAGCATCAGCGCATCAGCATCAGCGCATCAGCATCAGCATCAGCATCAGCGCATCAGCATCAGCATCAGCATCAGCGCATCAGCATCAGCGCATCAGCATCAGCATCAGCGCATCAGCATCAGCGCATCAGCATCAGCGCATCAGCATCAGCATCAGCATCAGCGCATCAGCATCAGCATCAGCGCATCAGCATCAGCGCATCAGCATCAGCGCATGCGCATCAGCATCAGTGCATCAGCATCAGCGCATCAGCATCAGCGCATCAGCATCAGCGCATCAGCATCAGTGCATGCACATCAGCATCAGCGCATCAGCATCAGCGCATCAGCATCAGCGCATCAGCATCAGCGCATCAGCATCAGCATCAGCATCAGCGCATCAGCATCAGCATCAGCGCATCAGCATCAGCGCATCAGCATCAGCGCATCAGCGCATCAGCATCAGCGCATCAGCATCAGCGCATCAGCATCAGCGCATCAGCATCAGCGCATCAGCATCAGCGCATCAGCATCAGCGCATCAGCATCAGCGCATCAGCATCAGCGCATCAGCGCATCAGCATCAGCGCATCAGCATCAGCGCATCAGCATCAGCATCAGCGCATCAGCATCAGCATCAGCATCAGCGCATCAGCATCAGCGCATCAGCATCAGCGCATCAGCATCAGCATCAGCGCATCAGCATCAGCATCAGCGCATCAGCATCAGCATCAGCATCAGCATCAGCGCATCAGCATCAGCATCAGCATCAGCATCAGCGCATCAGCGCATCAGCATCAGCGCATCAGCATCAGCGCATCAGCATCAGCGCATCAGCATCAGCGCATCAGCGCATCAGCATCAGCATCAGCATCAGCGCATCAGCATCAGCATCAGCATCAGCGTCAGCATCAGCATCAGCATCAGCGTCAGCATCAGCATCAGCATCAGCGCATCAGCGCATCAGCATCAGCGCATCAGCGCATCAGCATCAGCATCAGCATCAGCGCATCAGCGCATCAGCATCAGCATCAGCATCAGCGCATCAGCATCAGCGCATCAGCATCAGCGCATCAGCATCAGCGCATCAGCGTCAGCGCATCAGCATCAGTGCATGCGCATCAGCATCAGCGCATCAGCATCAGCATCAGCGCATCAGCGCATCAGCATCAGCGCATCAGCATCAGCGCATGCGCATCAGCATCAGTGCATCAGCATCAGCGCATCAGCATCAGCATCAGCGCATCAGCATCAGCATCAGCGCATCAGCATCAGCGCATCAGCATCAGCGCATCAGCATCAGCATTATCGCATCAGCATCAGCATCAGCGCATCAGCATCAGCGCATCAGCATCAGCGCATCAGCATCAGCATCAGCACCAGCATCAGCATCAGCACCAGCACCAGCATCAGCATCAGCATCAGCATCAGCATCAGCATCAGCGTCAGCATCAGCATCAGCATCAGCATCAGCATCACCATTGCCATCGCCCAATGCTCTCACTCCCCCCAATGCTCTCAACCCCCCCAATGCCCCTCACCCCCCCCAATGCCCCTCACCCACAGAGCAACCCGTTAGCACGGTGGCACATCTCGCCATCAGCCATCACCCCATGCCATGCCTCCTCCCCAATCTACCCCTCTCCCCTCCCAATGCCCATCACCCACAGAGCAACCCGTTAGCGTGGTGGCACATATCACCATCACCATCACCATCATCATCACCATCACCCATGCCATGCCACCTCCCCAATGTACCCCTTCCCCCATCACTGCCTCTGTGGCAGAGCAACCCATTAGCACGGTGGCACATATCGCCCTTAAAGCCCTCGTTTTCTTCCCGTCAGGCTCGCACATGCTCCCCCACGTCCCCTCTCCCCCCTATTGCCCACCACCCACAGAGCAACCCGTTGGCGCGGTGGCACATCTCACCCTCAGCCATCAACGCCCTCGCCTTCTCCCCTTCGGGATCTCACATGGCCACTGTTTCACGTGACGGTTAGTGCTCACTGAGGGGGGACGACGGGGGAAGGGGGGGGGGGGGGGGGGGGGGGAAGTTGGGGGAACGCTGATGGGCAGCCGTTTGCAGTCTAGCTGCTTCCTACTGCCTGCTGTGTGCTCGCTGCCAGTGCAGGGTGGTCCACTGGGAGTGGTTTTGAAGGCGTCTGAGAGCATTCTCTGCTTGGTATATGCTGCGTGCTTCCGTGCAACCTCCGTCCACATGCAGGCTACCTACGAGTCTTTGACTGGGAGCGAGAGGTGCTGGAGGGTGGGTGAGCTGCGTTGCTCCTTCTTCTGAGACTCCTCAAAAGTTGCCTTTTCCTGCAATTTCCCGTGATGCATTCACTCCCTTCGTGAGCGGGCCACCTACGAGTGTTTGACTGCAACAGTTGTGCTGTCCAGCACAACTCTTGCACCCGCCCTCCAGTTGCATTCACAACGAGCAGGCCACCTACGAGCAGGGAACAGAGGCCCTGGAGGGCGGGTGCAAGAGTTGTGCTGCTCCTGCTGAAAATACTCGAAGGTTGCTGCTTTCTTACGACCTCCCTCTGTGCAGGCTACCTACGAGTGTTTGACTGGGAGCGAGAGGCCCTGGAGGGTGGGTGCAAGAGCTACTACGGGGCGTTCCTGTGCTGCTTGCTGTGTGCATATGCCCCTGTGTGCTGCTTGCTGTGTGCATATGCCCCTGTGTGCTGCTTGCTGTGTGCATATGCCCCTGTGTGCTGCTTGCTGTGTGCATATGCCCCTGTGTGCTGCTTGCTGTGTGCATATGCCCCTGTGTGCTGCTTGCTGTGTGCATATGCCCCTGTGTGCTGCTTGCTGTGTGCATATGCCCCTGTGTGCTGCTTGCTGTGTGCATATGCCCCTGTGTGCTGCTTGCTGTGTGCATATGCCCCTGTGTGCTGCTTGCTGTGTGCATATGCCCCTGTGTGCTGCTTGCTGTGTGCATATGCCCCTGTGTGCTGCTTGCTGTGTGCATATGCCCCTGTGTGCTGCTTGCTGTGTGCATATGCCCCTGTGTGCTGCTTGCTGCTTCCGTGCATGTGTCGCTTTCTGCAGGCTACCTGCGGGTGTTTGACTGGGAGCGAGAGGCATTGGAGGGCGGGTGCAAGATCTGTGCCGCTCCTGCTGAGAATGCTCAAGGGTTGCTGCTTTCGTACGACTTCCCTCTGTGCAGGCTACCTACGAGTGTTTGACTTGGAGCGAGAGGCCCTGGAGGGCGGGTGCAAGAGCTACTACGGGGCGTTCCTGTGTTGCTTGCTGTGTGCATATGCCCCTGTGTGCTGCTTGCTGCTTCCGTGCATGTGTCGCTTTGTGCAGGCTACCTGCGGGTGTTTGACTGGGAGCGAGAGGCATTGGAGGGCGGGTGCAAGATCTGTGCCGCTCCTGCTGAGAATGCTCAAGGGTTGCTGCTTTCGTACGACTTCCCTCTGTGCAGGCTACCTACGAGTGTTTGACTTGGAGCGAGAGGCCCTGGAGGGCGGGTGCAAGAGCTACTACGGGGCGTTCCTGTGTTGCTTGCTGTGTGCATATGCCCCTGTGTGATGCATGCTGCTTCCATGCGTGCATGTGTCCCTGCATGCAGGGTACCTACGAGTGTTTGACTGGGAGCGCGAGGCCCTGGAGGGCGGGTGCAAGAGCTACTACGGGGCGTTCCTGTGCTGCGCCTTCAGCAGTGACGGACGGCTGGTGGCGGCTGGGGGCGAGGACGATCTGGTGGCCCTGTGGGACCGCCACTCGCACGCCGTGCTCGCCTGGTGCGAGGGGCACTGCTCCTGGGTGAGTGGGTCTTGTTCTTTGGGTGCCTTAACTTTCTATTAATGCGGTGCAAGTTGGCGCTTGACTCATTGCTGCTGGCCCTGTGGGACCGCCACTCCCACGCCGTGCTGGCGTGGTGCGAGGGGCGTGTGTTTCTCATACGGAGTGTGTTCTTAGGCTGCTCAGTGGTTGAGTAATGCTGCGCAATCTGATGAGGATGCGGTGAGGATGGGTGAGATGCATTGGTCATCCATTGCTCTGTCCCACCTCTCATCACCTCTCTCCCCTCTCTCTCGCTCTCCCTCGTCCTTCTCACTCTTTCTCCAGGTCACAGCAGTGGCATTCGACCCCTTCCTCTCCACAACGCCCCCCCCACCCTCCGCCATCGCCTCTCCTCCCTCCACCACCGCTGCTGCTTCCTCCGCCACTCCCTCTTCCTCCTCGCCCATCCCCGCCAGCACCAGCAGCACACCCAGTGGCGCGGGCGGTGGTGTGGCAGTGGCGGCGGGTGGTGCAGAGGGGAGCTACAGATTGGGTTCCGTGGGGCAGGTGAGGGGAGAGAGAGGGATGAGGGGAGTGAGAGGTGGGTGAGAGGTGGTGCCAGCACCGGCAGTGGTGCGGGTGGTGCGGAGGGCAGCTACAGACTGGGGTCCGTAGGGCAGGTGAGGGGAGATCGAGGGATGAGGGGAGTGAGGGCGGGGGATAGTTAGAGGAATGAGGGTAGTGAGAGGAGTGAGGTGCGGCAGTGATGCTGGTGGGGGTGTGGCAGTGACGCCAGATGGTGCAGAGGGCAGCTACAGACTGCGGTCCGTGGGGCAGGTGAGAGGTGATGCAGGGATGAGGGGAGTGAGAGGTGGGTGAGAGGTGGTGCCAGCACCGGCAGTGGTGCGGGTGGTGCGGAGGGCAGCTACAGACTGGGGTCCGTAGGGCAGGTGAGGGGAGATCGAGGGATGAGGGGAGTGAGGGCGGGGGATAGTTAGAGGAATGAGGGTAGTGAGAGGAGTGAGGTGCGGCAGTGATGCCAGATGGTGCAGAGGGCAGCTACAGACTGCGGTCCGTGGGGCAGGTGAGAGGTGATGCAGGGATGAGGGGAGTGAGAGGTGGGTGAGAGGTGGTGCCAGCACGGGCAGTGGTGCAGGCAGGCAGGGGTGTGGCAGTGGCGGTGGGAGGTGCCGACAGGAGCTACAGACTGGGGTCCGTGGGGCAGGTGAGAGGAAGGGGGGGAGTGAGAGGGGAGTGAGGGCAGTGAGGGAAGCGGGAGGGGCACGCGCTTCTGTGCATTGCACACAGCGGCAGGTGTCATGGTGAAACCATTTATCCTGTCCCTATGCTGCAACGCCCCGTTAAATGACACCCCCATGCCTTTGCCGTGCACTCGACCACCAGCCCTTCTCCCTTCCCTTCGATGTCCCCCCGACCCATCCTATCGGAGCTGCTGCTACAGGACACGGCAACGTGCTGCTCACTTGCGTCTGCTACCATGCCACTGTCATCACCGCCTTTGCTTCGCACCCACTCTCCCGCCTTCCTTCCTGCGCTCACTCACCCACTCCTTTCCAATCCCCGCCGCCCCGACCCACCCTACCAGGACACGCAGCTGCTGCTGTGGGACGTGGCTCTAGATGACGTGGTGCTCCCCTTGCGCCTCCATCCGCACCACCAATCAGCAGCTGCCACGTCAGCATCTCACTCTCATGATGTGGCATCGACAAGCACCCCGCCGCCCAACCACCCGCACTCCCGCTCGCACTTCTCTCACTTCCACTCTCACGCCCCCGGTCACGCCTCTCCCAACCGAACACATGGTGCCACGTCAGCATCACCATCCACGTCAGCAGCAGGAACTGCCACGTCAGCGTCATCATTAGGTCTGGGTAGATCCAGCGCCGCCCGGAGTTCCAGTGGGGCAGGGAGTGGTGCCGGTGGGGGCAGCAGCAGCAGTGGGGGTGGTGCGGGCAGCAGTGGGGCTTTAAGAGACGCATCGGGATCGAATGCATCACATGCAAGCAATGCATCAGCGGTTCTGGTGCCTCCTCCCTCACGCAAGGACGTGCCAAGAATATCGCCAGTGATGGCTCACAAGGTATGCATACACTCCGCCAGTGGTTCCATTTGCTTTCCACAACAGATCAGAGGGCTCACATCCCTTGGCACATCCCCCCATCCCCGCAATCATCCCGAGCTCACCTTCCTGCCCCCTGCCCCCCCACCATGTGCACGTGGAGTGGAACCACTGTCAGCGCTGGCTGTCTCACGGCACGTGGTGTTGCGGTGCTCACCGTGTGCCATCAGGGCTGTGTCAACCTCTGCCTGCATCTTGCTCACCCTCTCCTCTCCCCCCCCATGCCCCACACCCATCACTCCACCAGGTGCATGTGGAGCCGCTATCAGCACTCGCCTTCTCACGAGACGCGGTGCTCACAGCCTGTCACGAGGGCTGTGTCAAACTCTGGCTGCGACCAGGCGCCACCCCCCCTCCCGGCAGCATCGCTGCCTCCTCCACCCCTGCCCCCTCCGCTGCCGCAGCTGCGTCTGTTCCTGCTGCTGCTGTGGCTGCTGGTGCCGCTGTAGCCGTGCCTGCAGCGTCCGCCTCTCCTCTCCGGGGGGACCCCCAGTCAGCCTCTCCCGCCCTCTCCCTGGCTGACCGGGGCCCTGCTGGGTAACCGCACGGGCACACCAGAAGCTGCGGGTGCTGGTGTTGGTGGTGCTTCTGCTGGCAGTATGAGTGCCGCTGCTGCATCGGCTGCAGCGTCCGCAGTGGCAGCGGCAGCGGTTGCAAGAAGTGCTGTGTCCGGACGGGGATTCAGATGAGCACTTGTGTGAAAGCACCTCATGGTGCATGCATGCACGGGCATGTTCGCAGGAGTTTCGTGGCTTATGCAAGAGCATGGCTCGCGGCACGTAGAGGGGGGGAGAGTGCAAGAGGGCATATGGTAGGTGTGGCCCACAGCCACTCACCTGAGTGGGTGGCGCGGGTGCATTGAATGGCCTCATTATGAGCCCAAGTGGCTGTGGGTACTACTGTGGCTATGGCTGTGGCCTTATGTTGACGTGAGATGTGGTTATGCAGTATTGTACGCAACTGTTGCCATACTCTCACGGGTGGCAAGGCAATCGCATGGGATGATGTTGATTAATGATCTTCAAGTGTTGCAGGGATGTGGTTTTCTCTGGGGGTTGTCAGTGAGACGAGGTGTCCTGATATGGTATGGGCGCAAGCCTGCACGAGCAGAGGAGCACCAGGTCACTCGAGAAATTAGTGCACGTATGCATACTTCATACATGCACGCATATAGTGCAAGTGCAATGCAGTTCAGGTCTGGTGGCAGATGCTGAGTGAGAGTACAGTACGGCTGCATGTCCAAAAGCTTGGGGAGGGCGTGGTGTGGTGGTGGTGGTGCTACCACAGGTCGTTACCGCAAGTCACATGGTGAAAGAAGTTGAGGGACACGGAAGAGGGAACCCTGTAACCTGTCCCACTATAAGGGTACATGGCATATTATTAAACAGAAGCCTTGGCAACTAACCTTGCTGCCGTACGTATCAGCAATGGCATACATACCCAGTGTTAAGCGGGGTTCCTACCTACCTAGCACCTATGATATGACCTAGCACATATCACCTACCGGTAGCATGTATCATGTAGGGAGCACCTGGAGACAGGGCGTGCCCCATCTGGTGACCTGCACGCTGCCTGCTAGCTGCAGGCACACGCTTTCCCATGCTGCCTGCCCGCAGATTCTACTCTGCCAGCTGGCTCATTTGGATTGGACCGTGTCAGCTACTGTACCTCTCCTGTACAGGAACCTGACCTACACCGTGCCAGCTCCGAGCAAAGTGCACTAGCCCTGCGAGAGCCTATCATTGCCCTGCTATGCTCGACCTAGCAGAGCGCAGACGCACATCGCTGCCGTGCCTCTGTGCCAAGGGCAACGCACCATCTCCTATGGCAGTTGCTGTGCCCGAAGCTCCTATAAGCGCTGCTCCCTTGGCCGTGGGAACGCCAGCGGCAGCAGCAGGGCGGTCGGGGGTGGTTTGGGCGAACATCTCTGGGGACATGGGGACGATGGCCATGGCCTTGTGCAGCTTCTTGCCTGCCTTGTGGCTCCTGGGGTGCAGCTTGGATCGGCGCTGGCGGAACATATGCGTGTAGAGGTGCAGCCAGAAGAGGGGATAGGCCGCTAGGATGACCTGCAGAGAGGAGGTGTTGATGGGAGGGGTGGAGGGTGGGGGGAGAAAGAGGCTGTCAGATGCCGCCACAGATGGGGGCGGACGACAGGTTTGTGTGCATGGGACGCAAGTGTGAGGGGCAGGAGGAGAGGGAGGGCCGGGGGGAGGGGGAGGGGCAGGGGGAGGGGGAGGGCAGGGGGAGGGGGAGGGGGAGGGGAGGGGGAGGGGGAGGGGCAGGGGGAGGGGGAGGGGCAGGGGGAGGGGGGGGGCAGGGGGAGGGGGAGGGGCAGGGACACTGACCATGAGGACGTGGTGGCAGTGGAAGGGCAGCGCGGCAAAGAGGAAGTCCAGGGGCCGCTCCGCCTTGACGAATGGCAGCGCGCTGTAGATGAGCACCACTGCGCGCATGGGGGGAGGGGAGCGGAAATGAGAGGGGAGAGGAGAAGGCGGGGGGAGGGGGGAGAGGGGAAGGCGGGGGGAGAGGGGAAAGAGGGAGGAGAGGGGAAGAGGAGAAGGTGAGGGAGATGGACACCACTACACTTACAGGGGCCAGGAATGGAGGGGTTGGAGAGGGAAGGGGAGAGGCGAGTGGGGAGGGGGAGGCAGGTGAGCAGCAGTGCACGCGGGGGGGAGGGCGCTTATGGGTGGGGGAACAGCGCAGGCGCGAGTGGAAGGACGTCCGTAAAGAGAGGGGACACGGGCAGCGGTGATCACCAACCATTTTCTCCCTGTCCTCGTTACAGTACCGCGCGCCACAGTCACTGTACTGTCACTTTCGCCAATTACCGTCGTCCGCGCCACTCACTACCCCCGCCGCTCCTTCCGCCCCGCCACTCTCTCTCCCAGCCAACTCCCCCCTCCCGACCACTCACTTTCTCCGCCGAACATGCCGATGGGGTAGAGCGGGATGAACGCCGAGTAGCGCAGCCACGTCAGCGTGCGCGGACACGTGCCCAGCAGCGAGAGCGCGTACTGCGGATAACGGATGACCTGGCAACCACGTTTGGGGGGGGGGTGGAGAGATGGGAGCGGGTGAACGGGGGAGCACATGGGGAAGCAGGAGGAGAGAAGAACGAACAGAGCATCGTATCCTTTATTCCCGTCGGTTACTTTCAAGCAATTAGTGCGGTACGCTTTCTACCTATGTGTTTCAACTCGGGATGGCGGCCACGTGTGAAGCGGCGCGCACCGCGGACTCTATCCGACTGTACTGCAACGCACCTTGGAATGTAGCGGGCTATGGACATAGGGATCAACGAATGCACTTGTAGGGCGGAACGCACCTCGGAGCAGCACCAGACGGCGAGCAGCACGAAGAGCGCGGCGTGCGTGTGGAGCGCGGGCGTGCGCCCCACGACCGCGAAGAGCACGAAGCTGCGCCCCACCCACTGCACCAGCGGCGCCACCACTCCGCTCCGCACCAGCCCTGCGCGGCGAGGGCACGCGGGGAATTGGGGCGACGAGAGGGAGTGGGGGAGCGGGGTGAGCGCCGAGGGGAAGGCGTAGGGGTGGCAAGTGCGGGGAGAGAGAGAAAGCGGGAAGTGAGGGGAGAGAGAGAGGAAATAAGGAATATTAAAAACCGAATTACGTGGAAAAAGAGGAAAAAATGAAGATGCGAAGAGACGAAAGGAAAGATACAATCAGAGTGAGGCGACCCGTACCAGTGGCGGCATGCACGGTCTCGAGAATGGACGCGAATTGACACACGTCTGCAGAGACGGGTTGAAAGGGAAAAACTAAATCTTGAGAACCATTAATAAGCAAGATTCGATGGCATCAGCAGCAACTTGCTGCTTGCTAACTCTAAGCATGCTGAAAACGAGTACGCGGATCACGGTGAAAAGGGAGGAGGACAGTGAGGACACAGCTGGAGGGCGGGGGGAGCGAGGGGCGCGGAACGTACAGACGAGGGGCCAGGCGGAGTGGAAGGCGCCAGCGATGGAGGCGGTGGTGGCGGCGCTGTACATCATGGCGGCCAGCGCCGCGGCCCTGATGTCGCGACGGGCGGAAGGGGTGCGGGGGATGGCGCAGAAAAATGACGAAGGCAAATGAAGGCGCAAAACGGGTGTTCGCGTGGGGGTATGGAGCATGTGCGCGACTCGGGGTGCATGGCGGCAGTGAACGCACGGAAGGGGAAGGACGAGGGTTATGGGTTTTCGCTGCGACTGGAGAGAAAAAACAAAGGAAGCAGGGAGTGGCAGCGCCAGTCGCGGCAAGAGACGTACCATCCAGCGGCCTGCGCGAGATTGTACGCGGCGAGATACGATTTCGTCAGCGATGCCATTTTCTTGAAGCAGGGAAAGCTAGTTTTGGAGGAGCCGAAGTCTAGCTAATGTTAAGTGAACTAAGTAGTGTTAGTGCTTCAGAGTCTCGTATGCATAAAACCTTGTACCATCGCATTAGCTATTCGCAAAGTATCTCTAGGCTACTGCTTTAGGCAAGCTGGCTTCGTCCGTGTTGCTCGTACAACTCAAGAAACTAGCGTGTTTTGCGGTTCTTGGTGTAATTTGAAACAGGAAAGTGGAGCAGTCGGTTCTGAGGCAGACCCAAACAGGGAACATTCACCCACTTGGCCCAATTCCCGAAATCCAAGTTGAGCAAGTCGGCTCGGTTGGAGGTGCAGTGCCCCTTTCCCTCAAACACCCAAAATTCACTGGCTTCGCCCAATTTCCGAAATTCTTGCCGTTGATGCGACGATGCGACGACGCGACTCGGCGCAGCACACGCCAAACCACAGCTTCGCACACCGTCACCACCACCAGAAAAACACCTTGGTACGCGACGTGCACGAATTTTCACGAAAGTCGTCGCTGAATGTTGACAGTGAATGCAGTGGGTTCCAAAAGAACGGAGCGGCAACGAGTCGCATGGTGTTTGTGATAGGCGTCGCTCGCAACCCCAGCTTTGAGCGGCGCCAAAGCATTTTCCAACAGCCCGCGCAAATACACGACCAAAATCTGCGACGTGGGAACATTCCGTTTTTCGTGAACTGAACTATAACGAACATTTGCCGAGAAAGGGTAACTTTTCGCTGATCAAAACACTTGTTACTTTCAAAATATGATGACACATGCCTAATTTGATAGTCCAGAAAGTTGTGCATAGGCCATTATTGCTAACGAGATAGTGTTTGGTGAATTGGCGCCCCACGGACACGCACCTCAAGCGAGCATGGGGATTCTTGTTTTGAGACGTAGGAAGCGCAGAAATTTTCGCAGCCATCATGCGCAATCGGACGGCACTCGACGCGCGGCAGCCTGACCCGATCCACGCAGCGGGAGAGGCAGTCGACAGCGCTGTCCGCGGGTGGCGATGGCGCAACCCCAATCCTCCTCTTCTCCACCGCCATTCCCGAGGTAAGAAAGGATACCGGGAGAGCACTGGGTGCGATTAATAACCCCTGATTCGCGAATCTCGCACGTCGCGACCTTCTCATCTCTGGCCTCGTGGCCTTACCTTCCGGTGTGCTCGTCTCTGTCCGTCCGCCCATGCTCGCCCCACTCTGCGCCACTCAATACCCCTACCCGCGTTGCATTCCCGTCATGGCGTCGCACCCCCTCTTCCCGCACCTCGCGCCGAGCCTCGCGGCGCCCAGCGCCAGAAGAAGTCGTGGCAGACCGCCTTGTGAGCGTCAAGTGGGCTGCAGCGGCTGTCCTCTTCCTCTTCTTCGGCTGCCCGATCTTCCTCCCCGCGCCCCCCACCGACTGCCAGTATCTCGCGCCCTTACTCCCCCCTCCGCCTCCGCCTCTCCCCCCAGCACCCTTCCGCCGCCCTCCCCCCTGCACCACTGCGCCATGGGGTATGCCGCCACCGCAGGCGTCGTGGGGGGCGGAAGGCCAGGGGCAGCGCGGTACGTGGTGACAGTAGCGGATGATGCTATAGAGGGTGCACCGGAGGGGAGTCTCAGTGGGCTGTGGCGAACCTTGGAGGGACAGGGGGAGGAGGGGAGCGGCAGGGGCTGTACGTGACGTTCAACCGGTCGATGACGCGGCAGGGGTGTACGTCGCGGCGTTCAACCGGTCGATGACGACTCAAGTCGCGGCTGTTCCTTTCGTCACACACGACGATTGACGGGCGGGGGGTGCGTGTGAGGCTGCTGGGCAATGGGCTGGTGCTGCAGAACGTGACCAACGTCATCATCCACAACATGGAACGTGAGAAACAAGCTGTGCCGCTGCCTATCCACCTCGTTGCTGACTGCCTCCCTACCACAAGATTTCCCACTGGAAGGCAAAATTTCAAGTCTACCCTAGTCAACTGCTTGTAATTTTCCGAGTTTGATCTGCAGTGTGTGTTTCTCTCGCTCTCCTTGCTTGTCTTTGGCAGTTGGGAACCAGCCTGGGGATCATGACGTGCTTCCCATTCGCAGCAGCCAGGTGGTGTGGATCGACCACTGCCACGTCTACAACGGTCACCGTGGCACTGTGGACGTCGTCTACAACTCCACAGATGTGACTATATCGAATTGCCGCATCCACAACCACCGCCTGACCATGCTCCTGGGGGCGGACGACTCGCATGAGTACGACCGTAACATGCGTGTTACGGTGTATCGCAACTGGTTTGAGAAATCGGGGCAGCGCCAGCCGCATTGTCGCTGGGGGCAGTGCCACGTGGCCAACAATTTGTATACCGATTGGGCGTTCTACTGCCTTGGTGGGAGAGTCTTCGCTAAGATTCGGTCAGAGGCGAATGTTTTCCGGGCAGGGCGGGCACGGAAGGAGGTGACGCCGTGGTTTGGAGAAGCAAGCTTGACGACTCCTGGGTTTGACAATACGCCAACAATCCTGTCGTATGGCGATTTGCTGTTGAATGGAGCTACCTTTCACCAATTTCAAGGGAAGGAGCCCATGTTTGATCCGCCTTACCGGCTTCCTCTCTATGATGCCTCGGCTCTCATGGAGACCTTCCTGAGACAAAGTGCGGGGCCTCAGTACCCATTCAAATTCATTAGGTCTTACTTTGACTGGGATGCCTAATCTTAGTGGTTGCGGTGTAGCTGCTTACTGATCAAACCATACTACAGATAATCCAGATTCCAAGAAGTGTCGATGCACGAATTCGCTTTCGCGAAGCATGCCAGCTCATTCGCGTGTCTTCGCGTGTCAACAACGAGCCACGTCTGTCGCAAAACGTCGTCTCGTCGTCGCAGGCAGGTGCCGCGGAGAAGCAACTTTGTCCCCTGCCTCGCAGCCGCCCAGGTATTCCCTTCCGCCAACCTTTCCGCCCGCTCCACGAACCTCGAGAACCATGTTAGATCGTGAAGAACCCAGCTGAACCGCATGAGGCAAACACGATACCAACGCGCCGAATGCCCCTTTTTCTGGTGTACCCTATTTTATTCGGGCCTCGAGCTTTTCCTTGCTATTCCTAGGTTGTACCGTTTTCTTCACGTTAGTGCGTTCCACTCACTCTAACCCTAGATTCCGTTATTCCGTGACTGCCGCTCGCGCTTCGAAGTGCTCGTTCCAGCATGGCCTCTCGCGGAGGAGCGACGCCGTCTAAGGGTTGCCTGCAGCGGCTACAGCGAGAAATGAAGTTAATTACCAAGGTGCTGACGCCTTGTCTCCAATTCTTTAGGTGCCTTGGAAATAGCTCTGACAGCCACCGAGCCGTCGCTTTCGTCATTACTAGGTCTCTTTCCTATAGTTTACGATAATAAGTTGTCGTTCCAATGGCTGCGGTCAGTTAGGTTTTTTTATTGCGCTTGGACTCACTCATAAGCCGGACTATCGTCTCCTTGCTCTCCCGCTCCTTCCGGTGTGACCCGCATCGCCTCTATTTCAGGAGCCGCCGCCGCACATCCGCGCGAAGCCGAACCCCGCCGACATGCTGGACTGGCGTGAGTGACCGCTCCAGCATACGCACTTGCACGGGCCGTCCCTTTCAGCTCTCTCCCGCGCGCTCCTTTGCTCCTGCCATCATCCTGCCCTTCTTCTTTTCCAACCTCCACATTGTTTACCTCCACGGCATCATACGCATTTCTGACGTCACCACCTCCGCCACCTTTACTTCTAAGCGTCTTCTACTCTCGCCAATCACCACCCTCCACCCACCCCCTCACCCTCCCCGCTTTCCCCCTGCCTCCCCTCCCCCTCCCCGTCTTCCCTCCCCGCCAGACTTCGTGTTGGAGGGCAGCCCGGGCACGCCGTACGAGGGCGGGTGGTACCACGGACGGCTCAGATTCCCCGCCGACTACCCCTTTAAACCGCCGAGCATCATGATGCTTACTCCCAACGGACGATTTGCCACCAGCACTCGCATATGCATGAGCATGAGCGATTGTGAGTGGGGCAGGCGGTTGTGAGTGGAGCGAGCGACTGTGGGTGGGGCGGGCGTTTGTGAGTGGATGCTCTCTTCGCGGGTTCAGCTCCCCGTTAGAGTTTTGCGCACATTCCTCTCGCCTCGTATCCCTCTGACTGCTCGTGCCCCCGTGTGCTCGTGCCGTGGCTGTGTGCAGTCCACCCCGAGACGTGGAACCCCATGTGGTCCGTTGCCAGGTACCATTCTCCCCTCGCCCTCGCTCTCCCACACCTTCGCTCCCCCACGCGCTCGCCCTCCCCACGCCGTTGATGCACTCCCCGCTGCACTGGGTCTACACTCTCGCTTCATGCTCCGCAGCGTGCCTGCCCACATTCGTTTCTTAGTCTATCTCGAGGTTCTTGTGATTTCCGTCATGCCATCACACCACTCCCCGTCATTGTGGCCTGTGAACCATTCATCCCATCCTCACCGCATTCGACCCCCCCACACCACCGTCCGTTGCCCGTTCGTTTCCCCCACAGCATTTTGACCGGCCTTCTCTCCTTCATGGTACGTGTTGACCTGGTTCTGTGATTTTGCAGTGTTGCAGTGGCTTCGTGGCCGCACCCACAGGCACGCAGGCTGTTTGCAGACTCCTCACATGCACACCATTTCTCATGCGCAATGAAAATTTTGTCAAAACTGTGCCAGTTTCCCAAACTGTGCATTGCGGTGCTGTGTGGTGCAATGGGCATGCTCTCTGTCACTGCCATCCATGCCATGCCTGCCTGCCTGCCACCTTATCTGCGCTCCCTGCTCCCTGCCCGCCTCTCCCTCTGTGCTCCCTCCTCCCTCTGCGTTCTCTTCCCTGGACGTCCAGTCGGACGATGCAGTGACGGCGGGCAGCATAGTGGCGTCAGAAGCAGACAGGCGCAAGCTGGCACGCCTCTCCATGGCCAATAACTGCCGCAGGTACCGGCCTCGCTGCCGCGCTGCCTTGCTGCCTAGCTGCTGTGCTCTGCTTGACCTTCTCTCCACGTCCCAGTTCCCTGCCTCAATTCACCCCGCTCTCATTCCCCTCGCCCTCGTTCCGCGTTCCTCGCAGCAATCTCCATTAGTTTGTCGACAATTCAGCTTCCGCTCTTCACTTTCCGTAATGTCTGTTGCACCAATCGCTCCCCCCTTTTCCCCTTCCCCTCTCTCCTTCCCGCGCCTCTCCCTCCCCCCCCCCCCCCCCCTCCTCCCCCCTTAGCCCCGTGTTCCGCAAGCTCTTCCCCGACCTAGTGGACAGCTACACAGCGTCGCTGGCGTCCGCAGCAGAGGCAGCAGAGGGCGCAGAGGGCGCAGAGGGGGCTAATGGTGTCAGCAGAGCGCAGGGGGAGGGCGCGGAGGGGAGGGGGAAGGGGGTGGGGAAGGGCAGGCGGGTGGTGGAAGCTGCTGCTGGGGTGGAGGGCGGGCGGGAAGGGAAGGGCAGTGAAGGGGGAAGAGAGCTGAGGGTAGGGGGTCTGGGAGGGGTAGAGAGAAAAGAGGGGGGGCAACGGAGGGTGGTTAGAACAGGAGGGAGGACGGGTGTTGCTGGTGCGTTCAGTGCAGGGAAGGCAGTAGAGGCAGGTGCGGCAGGGTCAGGCAGTGCGAGTGGGAAGCAGCAGCCGGGCCTGTCAAGTTTGTCGTTTTGGGTCACTGCTGCTGTCGTGCTGCTGTGTGGGTGTGTCATGGCGGTGCCATTCCTTGATTCCTTGTCCACGTCCCTGCTGCGGCTTTCTTGACAGCTGCATATTACACAGTGCTTACGATTATGTTTCCTTGTCGTGAGGGAGTTGTGTGTAGCTTATTATAGCAGCTCAAATCTGTTCTTACTCCCTGTAATTAATCAATTTAAGAAATTATATAACCGTTCTAGTGTAACCGGGCAGGCTTGAATCGCAGATTTTGTTCCCTAGTCGCGGCGCAACCTCCCTGCCCGTCCCACACCTCACCTCACATCCCGTTGGAGGGTTTTCGTTTCTACGCTGCCGTGCCGTGCCCTACGCGTGAACAGCAGCTGAAGCCCGCTGCTGCATTTTCAACCAACAGACGCCCTCTTCGCATTCCCGTCCGACATTCCTACAGCACGCTCGCTCCTGCCGCTGCTACCTTACAGTCCGTGAAACCTCCGAAACCAATCCCCCTTGATATCTCCGGCGCATAGTGCTTCCAAGTTAGTTACTAGCCATGACAGGCGCAAGACAGTCGAGGGTAGCGCGGCTGCCTTTTTCTGCTGATTTGCGCCCTTCGCATTTCTCAACACGCCAATCTCATTCGCCTCAACGTTCTCCTGTTGAAAGCACCTGGAGTCGTGGCTTTCCTGCACATTCGAGTTACGAAATCAAGTCGTCCGTGCCACTTAGGGCGCTCGCGGAACAAGGCAATTACGACGCTGTCTCGTTGGTATCCCGCCCTCCCCGCGCCACGCCATGAAGAGCCCCAGCGCGCAGCTCTCGCACGCGCTCACGCGCATCCACGCCGCCATGCACCGCCCGCCATCCCCCGCGCCTGCTCCGCCATCGTCCCCGCCGTGCGCGGGGAACTCCCCTGACGACGCCACGCGACGGACTGCGAGTCGCCGGGCGTCGCAGGAGCGCACGGCGGAGTTGCTGCAGCAGTCGTTCCGACCTAAGGCGCAGCCATTAACGCCACACGCTCACGCCCGCGCGCCCATTCCGGGGTTGCCTGATGGTGGCGGCGGGATGGAACGGCGGAGGGGCGCGATGAGAAGCAGCAGTGGCCCGCGGGAGGGTCGGTTTGGGGGAGGGCCTCTGCGGGGGACGGAGAGTCCCGCGGTGCCGGGACGCGTGACGCTGAGAAAGCAACTGTCGAGCGACATCGCGCCGCTGCTGCTGCGGCTGAAGCGACAGGCCACGCCCACGCGCGTCCGCAGCCAGTCGCCCGTGCTGTCGCCTGTGCAGTCGCCGCGCGACGTGTGGGAGGCTGCAGAGGCGGGGAGGCTGTTTGATTGGACCAGCAGGGGCACGGAGTGTACTGGTAATGCCAAGTCAGCAAGGGCGGTTGTTGAAGAAGCGGAGATGGGTTCCGTTTCCACAGCAAGGCCGGCTATTACAGTTGTGAGGAGGACGATTCAAGCCCAGTTGCAGGGGCAGCCATGGTCCCCAAACAGCACCTTGGAACCACCGAACGATGACCTGTCTCTGTGGCGGGATGGGCGCTCTCAGGCCGCCTGTTGCCTTCGGGATTCACCTCAAGAATTTACTGAGGCTGCGACGAGCACAAGGAAATGTTGCACGAGCGCGGTGCAGCATGTATTGTGTGAGAGGAATCATAACCGGCAGGCATTGCGCCAGAGACGCTCCTCTAGCCCATATACACCAGTGGGAGGTGCTTCATGTGAGGCAGGTCGCCAGATTCTGGCAGAAAAACTGTCTTCTCAAAGTAAAGGAAGGGGACGGCTTGCACAAGCTATTACTGCAAGGCACCAAGTGGTTCAGGATCAGCGGCCTAGATGGAGCTTATGATTTGAATAAAGAGAGCTTCTGTACGAAGAAGATACAAAAACTAGGGAGCAGGCTCTTATGTATTGTAGAAATATATTAAAACAATCTGCCCCCAGCTGTGCTGCAATAAATGTGAAATGAGTTATTGTTTACTTACGACTGCAAGATGAAGTGTTCCGGCGGAATCTTCTAGGCTCAAACAGGTACAGAAGGCACGGGTTTTGTCTGTCGCGACCGGCCAATCGTCGTCAAGTAACTGCCTCTATTCCTGGGATCTGCCGAGGCTCAGCTGACCTACGGGGAGCCTCGGGCGAGGCGTTTCGAGGCGAGACCAGTCGAGTCGAGGGGAGGCTGGGGAAGGACCGCAACATCAGCACGAGCTATCGCTGGCAGGGCATGACAAGTTGACAAGCAACCCTTGGCATACTAGTTCCGAGTCCGAGACCTGCGTCTTATTTTCTGAGTGTCCTTTCCAGCTTCTCATACCTGCTCGCACACGCTTCGCTCAACGTCTTTCACGGCCCGTCTTCACTTGCTCTTCGCCTGGCGTTACGGTCGATTCGACTGCTCTGCTCTGCTCTTTTATGCTATCAGCTGCGAGTCCCGGTGGAAGCGCCATGGCTGATGAGGTGTCGCTCGCTGAACAGGTCCGTTCCGGCGTTCTCTTTTGGAGACGTTTCTAGGATTTGACAGTCGGGTATTGATTCCTCACGTTACGATGACAATCTTCTCGTCACCTTGCTGTCCCGTGTGTTTGGTTGTTATGTTACTACTTATGTACTCTCTTCGAGTGCCGAGTTAATAGTGACACTGTGCATATGTTTCCGTGTTTCTGTTCCTTCCTCATCCGTCGTTGCATTTTTCCCTTTTTAAAATAGGCCGCGTCGGTTGGCGATCTTGTATGCACTCCGTCCTCCTCACTCGCTCGCTTGACATAGGACCCTTGCGGATGTGTTCACGCGTGCCGTGCGCTTGCTCCATGATATAGGTCCAGCATGGTCCATGATCCTTGAGTTTGAATTCGTGCGCCACATTTTTTTTTCATGATTCGTGCAGGAGGCTCGGTTGAAGAAGAAGTATGGCGGGGCTCTGCCAAAGAAAAAAGGACTTCTTTCCAAGGTAAGATGCATTTCTTGGATTCTTCTTGCTGATCTGCTTCAATCGGTATTTCTTTCGGTTGCATATTTTGTTTCGTCCGTCTTTGGTTCAATACACCTAGTTTCGCTGCTTCGGCTTCGGCTTCTTTTCCAAAAGAGCTCATTTTTAATCGCGTGCTTGCCACGCATCTCCCGCCACGTGTACCCGCAGGGCCACGAGAGGGCTTTCTTCGACTCCGCCGAGTGGGCCATTCAAAAGGTACGATCGCGTCGCAATGTGTCATGTCGCTTTTTATCGCATCCTGTCGCCATCCATTGCGCCTGCTTGCTGGTCATCCCCACCCTAACAGTTTTCGCATCTGCTTTCTCTCCGTCCCATTGGCGTGCCTCCTCTGGCAGCAAAAGGGCGCCAAACTGGCAGCACCAGCAGAGGAGGGGCTGCAGCCGAAGCTAGAGGTACGTAGGTTCCACGCATTAGGATTTTGTCAGATAAGAAATGAACGAGTAAAAGAACTCCACCGTATGCATGTGCCATCCATGTACGTAAGGCCAGGTGTGAGCAAGTGCATGCACATGTTGTTTCTTCAATCCAATGTGGCCCTTGTTGCACTCCTTGCTGCATCAGCGTGAGACTGACACGCCGTGCCTGGCATTCCTGCTGTCTGGGTCGACCTGTGCTGTGTGTGCATACAGCCTACCCCACATCAACCTGCCACGGGTCGTCGCTCTGGACTGGCTGAAGGCTGATTTGTGATTTGGGGTTTGCCCGGTCACACTGCACATACACATGGTCAGTGCTCGTGTGTGATTGACTGGTGAGGTGATCGCTTTGGTGCTGCAGCTCACTGCCTTGATTCTCACATTTTTTTCGCGTTGTTGTCATTTCACAGCTGATCTTTAAAGGCACTTGTGCACAGCTGAGTCGATCGCCTTCCCTTCTCTCTTTGGTGCTTCTGCAGGCACCAGGGATGACAAGGTGCTCCACCCATGAACATGCGGTCGTCTGCTCTACCCATAGCCTGGCTTGTACCCAGCAATGCTTTTCGGGCTTCCACACTGTCACTCACAGCACCTGCTGTCTGAGAACATACATTAAGGTAGAACACGCCATGATGATAGGCTTTCTTTCATTGTCATTTTTCTTGTACAATTATCCCTGTACCACTTTTGGTGTTATCATTGACCTATATAGTGCGGATGTTGCAAAGCACCAACAGAGAGCAGGTAGCATGAGTTCATTAACAGCTGTGAATGATTGGACTGTAGTGTCATACTCGATGAATCCACCAAGCTGCTAAACCACTATAACTGCCAGGCAGAAACGTACCAGTAGTACCAGTACCACACCACCTGGAGGGAGCTGAACGATTAGAGGAAACGTACCATAGAAAGGCAGCACGCCTCTCACGGAGCAGCCTAGGCTCGTTGGAACCTCCGCACGAATGTAGCCTTCTTTTTCACCGCGCCTTCCCCAGGAGTGCGATGCCATGCTTCTGTGCCGCCACCTCACTGCACGCTCTGCTTGCTGCAGCACAGCTCTTCCTAAACTCTTGCCGTGCAGACCCCATAAATCAGCCTTGCCCACTCAGCCACCGCAACAGCACCCACAGCAGCGTCTGCAGAGTAAATGATGAGTATGTGCAACCTGACATGCTTCAGGCGCTACGGACGAGGCGCTCCGGGGGAAAACGGACGCGGCGCAGCTCAGTGGCGCGCAAAGAAGCCGTAACTTGAAGCTGCAGCTCGCACGCCCGTGGTGTGCTGTGCATCATCACGCGCGGCTACGTGCTATTGGTCGCTACCGTCGTCACTGACCTCCGCTGCATCTTCCGCTGCTTGCTCCGCGCTCGCCGCTTCTTTCGCCCGCGCGCGCTGAATCGCCTTCCGCTTCCGCGCGGGAAGCGCCGCCAGTGCCTCCTCTTCCGCCTTCCGCTGCGCTTCCTTGGCGGCCTCCGCGCGTTCAAACTGACGCTGGATCTCGTTGGAGTGGCGGCGCGAGAGGATGTAAGCGAGCATGACGAGGCAGCTGGCCTGCACGGGGCTGATCAGCCGCAGCAGTGCCAGCACGCCCCCCACCGCCGCCAGCAGCACGTACTTCCACTGCTGCGACCGCTTCACCTCCATGGCGGACCGCGGCGACGGTCGCGAGACGAGGCCGTGAGGCGTGGTGGTGAGGGGAGTGGGTTGTGATTCAAGGTGCTCAAGTTGAAACACGAATAGCAGCGATAGCAGCGACACTAACGAGCGGTGCACGTGGGTTGTCAAAACTCGGATCACGTGGGTTGGAGGGATTGCTTTTTGCCAACCCACGTCGAGCACTGGTGAATCACGCATTGGGCAGAGGTGTGCGACTATGATGCGACGATTCGTCAAAGACGTGTGCGACAACTTAGGGGGTGAGAGCATGCTTCTGTTACGACTGTGAATGCATGTCATCCTCTAATTCATCAAGCAAACTCAATAACATTCAATTATTCACACAGACGGTACCAAAAAGATTTTTCCAGACAATAGAAAGAATTATGTACAAGAAATAAAAGAGCATGCTAGTTCTAGGAATCAGGCAGGGTATATGCACATGGGAGAAGGATGAGCAAAGATAACAGCTACCGTACTACAGTTCCTTGTTTTAACTTCATATGTGAACTCCTGGCTTGTGTTGAGGCACACACTCAGCTAGCCACTGGGGCACCCTTGAGGGGCAGAATGAAGAGGGATTATCGTTGACAGATGCCAAAGCAGCATGACACTGGAACACGACCAAAGAAGAAACAAAAATGTAGATAAGCTGGCCGGCCAAAGGAAGCCATTGCAAGTCAAGAAAGAAGACCTACGGTACCGTAAATGGCAAGATGCAAGGTACTACACACCTTGAGTCCTGTCAGGGGATGGCGAGGTGGCAGAGAGCGACACACACACCGTGCCCTTCCCTGCCTCCGACTCATACACCACCGCCCGCACCGCCTGCCCCCCCACCTCCACCCCCACCGCCACTTCCCTCCCCCCCTTCTCCCTCCCCCCTTCCCCACTCTCCTCCAAACCTCCTCCCTTCTCTCCACACACCAACCTAACCCCTCTCTCATCGCCCTCCACTTCCTCCCCCTTCCCCTCCCCCTCCTCCTGCTCTGCACCCGGCGCCCCCAGGGGGCGGGGGACGATGACGAAGTCGTCGAGGGGGTCGTAGAGGGGGTCCTTGCCCTTCACCTCGAGGAAGAAGTGCAGCAGGCTGAACACGCGTGGCAGCCGCAGCAGCTCCCGGTGCTCTGCCCCCGGCACTCCCACTCGGAAGCGCGCTGGGAAGCCGTCCGCCTGCAGGGTGTGCCAGAGCGGTTGGGGTTGGGGTGGGTAGGTGAGGTGGATGGGGAGTTGGAGAAACAGAGAGAGGCAGGGAGGAAAGCAGAGAGAGACGGGGAGCGGGAGTGGGAGTGGGAGTGGGAGAGAGACTGCAGCGCACATGACGAGGCCAGGCAGGGCAGGAGCGAGGGGGGGACAAGGGCAGCGGCTTACCAGGGCGGACTCAACAGGAACGGTGCCGTCGCCGTGCACGCAGTCAAAGGTGGCCTGCATGCACCATGGCGGGTGGGACAGCGACACAGCGCGACACACAGGGTGAACGAAGCTGATGCTTCAACGGAGGGAGGAGAGGGAGAGCAGCACAGGGCGAGCAGGAGAAGGCGAGCAGCAGAGACAGGAGGGGTGGAAAGGGGTTGAGGGAAGAGCGGCTTACATCGGAGTGCAGGATGTCAGGCAGGTCGTTGAGCGGGTCCTTGGGCGACCCGTACCTGTGCTCACACAGGGGAAGGAGGGGTCACAGCCGTGGGGAAGGAAGGCACACGGTCACTGGGTTAATGCACATGTCATGAAGAGTGAAGAAGTTGATACCAGGAAAAACGAGTGGAAGGAGAAAAGGATGGCGAGGGAGGGCAAGAGGCGTACTGCGAGTGGAAGGGCGTGTCGAGGCCGGTGCCATAGACGGTGTAGAAGTCAATGGAGGGCGGCAGACGCGCCCTCGCCCAGATGCGCCTCGTCTCGTCCGCCCACCTCACAATGTCCCGGTTGAACGGTAAGGGCACCGTGCGCCCATTCACCTCGATCTACATGGCGCAACGTGTGGGGGGAAGCATGGCGCACCATGCACACAGCACAGGTGATGCATGTGAGAGCTAAGAAACACAGGCGGCATATAGCATGGCTCGAATAGGTGCGCATGGACTGCACGAACGCAAACTGAGTTGCTGCAAGCTCAGCAACGTCCCCCAGCAGCAACCCACCAGCATGTGCTGCTGCCCTTTCTTTTCATGTGCCCCGCGCACCTAATTGCCTTGCACCTCACCTTATTGCCTTGCACCGCACCTTATTGCCCTGCACCGCACCTTATTGCCCTGCAGTGCTCTGTCCATGGCAGCCAGAATGTCCGGCAGGCGAGTGAACCGCTGCTCCACCACGCCCTCGCCCAGCACCCTCTCCACCACCCCCTTCCCCACCGCCCTCCGCGGACTGCCATCGCCCGCCACGGACTCTGCCCCACTGCACGCCTCGCTGTCGCCGCCACTGCCACTGCTGCTCGCACTGCTGCTGCCGCTCTCGCTCCCACTCTCGCTCTCACTGTCCGTCTCCGCTTCCGCCCCGCCACACACGTCCTCCTTGGTGTCGCCCGCCTTGAAGTCGGGCTGGCGGCGCACGACGCGCAGCTCGGGCTGCTGGCCGCCCCAGTGGAAGTCGTAATCCGCCATCAGCTCGTACACCGATGGACACTCCACCATCTGTGCGCGCGTACCACATGCGCGCAGGAGAGGCGCAGGGGGGAAGGGGGAAGGGGGAAGGGGGATGGAGAGGTCAGAGGGGCAGATGGAGGGCCTAGCGGCAGCCCCCGTGGAAGTGGTAGTCCGCAATGAGCTCGTACAGCGATGCGATGGGCACTCCACCATCTGCCACCAGCGCGTGCACCCACATGCGCGCACGGACGGATGCGCGCACGAGAGGCGCAGGGGGAAGGGGAATGGAGCGGTCAGAGGAGCAATCTCGAGATAAGCAACAACGAGAACGTGGCGATTTGGGAGGGGAAAGTGGGTGCTTAAAATGACGAGTAGATGGCTGGAAAAAAAACCATTATATTAAATTAAAATGCACGAGCAAGCAAGGGGGTGTGGGGGAAGGTGGTGGGGTTGGGGAGGGAAGCGGGGTGGGTCGGGGGGGGGGAAGGGGGGACGGGAGGGAGAGGAGCGGGACTGGGAGCGCGTACGAGTTGGTGCATGGTCCACTTGGAGATGAAGAGCGACTTCTGCCAGCCCTTGAGGAACTCCACCCCCGTCAGCAGCGTGTCCATTATGAACCCCGGCGCGCCTGCCACCCAGCGCGCGCGGGGGGAACGGGCGAGAGGGACAAGCGGACGGGCGAGACAGGCAAGGGGTAGTGGGTGTGGTGTGAGGCGAGGGAGGCACTGATGGTGCGGAGAGGGCATGCGAGGGGTGCGCGAAGAGACACGACAAGCAGTAAGGCGCGGGAGCGGGGACGGGAGGCGAAGGGGAGAGTGAAAGGGAGAGGGAGAGGGACGGGTGCGGAAGAGCGGTGGTGACGCACATCCCGCAACACTCCTCACAGGCGCAAACGGAACGACACACGCAGCTCGCTCAACCGCCATTCCCGTGCTCTCCTCCCCCCCCGCACGCGCAACCACCCCCGTTCGTCTCCGCGCGCACCTCGGAAGGGCGCGGCGATGGAGACCCACTTGCGCACGAGGCGCTTGGCGTGGGCGGGGTGCAGCGCGACGAACGACTTGAAGAGCAGCCCGCCCATGCTGTGCGTCACCACGTCCACGCGCCGCCCGCTCGCCGCCACTATCGCCTCCAGCCGCGCGCGCAGCCGGTCCAACGTCTCCGGCAGCCTGCCACGTGGACGCGCCAGGTGGCAACCAAGAGAGCGGTTTACATTTAGATAAACTTAGGTGTGGCTTACACCTGAGACTGAAGGTACCAAATGACAAATTCGAAGATGAGACAAAACGAAGAAGCAGTGCGGGAGGCTGACCGGTTGCTTTGCCGAAAGTCGTAGCCGAAACCGAAGAGCGTCTCGCCGTCCTTAAAGCCCCACTTGCGCATCTCGACAATGGTGTGGTGGTAGTAGCACACCACGTCCAACGGTACCGACTGTCGCGGGGGACCGAGGGGAGTGGCAGGGAAATGGATGACGTTGCACATTTTAGACAGCGTGAGTGTGGTAACAACACACCACGTCCAGCGGTACCGACTGCCACGTGGAACACGGCGAACGAAGACGAAACGGCGACAAAACGGAAGCGAACGGCGGCAAGATGGGGTGGAGGTGAAGGGGTGTTGCAGATGTGCGACAGCGTGGTTGCGAGAGGTAGCACGAGGCACTCACAAACAGCAACAGCAAGAGAGCGAGCACTCGCTGGATTGCTATTTAACACGCAACCGGGAGGAATGCTCACGACGTGGAAACGACTAGGTGCTTAGAACGTCGAAGCTACGACGTGCTTACGACGTCGGGGTCGACGTGCTTACGACGTCGGGGTCGACGTGCTTACGACGTCGGGGTCGAGGATGTCGCAGCTGTACAGCCCGTGGTTGTCGTCCGGCACCTCGATGTGCGACTTGTCGTCCAGCGACTCCGACTTGCCTGCGACCACCACACGACGCGCACGAAAGAGCGGAGAGCAGGAGAGTGAGAAGAGCGGGTGAGCTGCTAAGACGACTGGAAGCATGAGGTAAAAAATAGTCCCCGCAGCGGAAGAGCCCTAACCTGTTTTAGGATTGTATTTCGACCAAAGCTTGGTGCGAAACTCTTGATCAGCGTTGTAAAGTCGGACCCATATCCGTTCCTTCTTCTTCCCGTCTTCGCTAACTGCGTTAAGAATAGAGCCTCCAATCCCCGGTATAAGCAGCACCGGATTAAGAATCCCTGCCGTGTCGTGAGGCTTCGGACGCGGCTTCGGCCACCACGGTCGCCAGCCAACCATTGCTGCACTAGTTTCTTCTAAGACTAGCCTCTAAGACAACTAATGCGGTGAAACCCTAGAAGTGTGGTTGGACTGGGCGAGCCGGGAATGACGGTTCAAGCAGGGGAGGGCATGGGAGGATGGAGGGAGTCAGGAGGGACGCACCGTTGGAATTAGAGCACAGCACCGCACCGCACCGTTTATATTTGACAGTGCGGTGGTTTGGAAATTGGAATGAACGGGCGAAACTTGGAAGGGGTGTGTTGTGTGGTGGAGCGACGCTGCTATGGCTGTCCGAACCAAAGCACTCCCCCAAGCCTGACGTGCTCGGGCTCAGCGCGCCCTTCGCCTTGCCGCGGATTCCCGTCAGGGGGGCACCATGGGCAGGGAACAGGTTCTGCTGACGACAGGCTTGTGTGGCTGGTGTGGCATTGGCAGAATGTGGCGAATTGTGGCGAAGGTTGTCCCGTCAAAATCAGGCTCGAGCTGGAGCAAATTCGCGAACTCGAGCAAAATCAAACACTGCCTGAATGCGAACCTCGAGTCAGCACTGTCATCGCCAACCTCCAAAACCGTCGTCATTTCGCAGATTCGCCGCAGCATGTAACCCTTTTTCTGCCATCAATTTGTGCCTCGGTATTGTATTCCAGCCCGACTTACCAGACACCCAGCATATTAATATTAGGTCCAACAATCGCGTCGCATTCATTGCAAGTCTGTCCAATAGCCGGAGCAATGCTACCGTCATCAACTCGATAAACCAGGAGGCATCGACACGAGGCATCAATGGCGTCCCTTCAGCCGCGCCACAGCGGCTCCCCCAAGATCGCGACGCGATCGTCCTCGTCGGAAGGCGGCAAGCCTCGCTTTTTGTCGGCAGCCATGACCGCCGTCACGGAGCGCAATAGATTCACGGAGATTGTCTTCGCGGCGCTGCTGCTGTCCGCGTCGCTCCGCATCTGGCTCGACCTGCGCGTCCACGCCCCGCACCCCGACGCTCTGCCCTGCCGCAACGACGACTCGCTTCAACCGGCCGACCAATCGTCGTCCTCCGCGTCAGCATACATCAACGACAGCGTGGTTGCGCTGCCCGGCCGCGCGTGGCGGTTGCCGGCGGGGGTGGCGCGCGCGTACGGCGGGCTGGGCGACGGCAAGGTGGACCCGGCGCGGTTCCGCCTGCACGTGAAGGTTCTCGTCTTCGACCGCCCCGCTTACGCGCTCCGCTGCCTGCGCGCGCTCGCCGCCGCGCTGTACGACGCGGAGCCCGTCCACCTGGACGTCTTCGTAGACCATCCCTTCGCGCTGCGCGCCGACGCCGCGCCCTGGTCGCCGCGCGCCGCGAGACGCGTGGCCGCCTCCCACTCCCTCATGGCGCAGATTGACGCGTTCGCGTGGCCGCACGGGCCGAAGCGCGTGATGTACCGATCGCAGAGCGCGGGCGTGCAGGGCCAGTGGGTGGAGGCGTGGTGGCCGGAGAGCCTTGCTGACGTGGCGCTGATGGTAGAAGACCACGTGGTGGTGTCCCCGCTGTACTACCGCTACCTGAAGCGCCTGCTCGCGCGCTACTACTTCCGCCGCGCGGACTTCGATCCGCACGTGCTGGGCGTGTCGCTGCAGCGCCAGACCTTCGTGCCCGGGCTGGGCGCAGACCCGCTCCCCCCGGTGGCGCACGGCGCGCCGTTCCTGTACGCGGTGACGGGCACGTGGGGGCAGGCGGTGCTGCCGGGGCCGTGGCGGCAGTTCCGCCTGTGGCTGGACGAGCGGCGCTACAACGGCAGCCGGCAGCCCCTGGTGGGCGGCCTCAAGACCACCCAGTGGTTCCGTGACAAGGTGGGGGTGGAGGGAGGAACAAGGGGGAGGGTAAGGGGGCAGGTGGGGAAGGGAGAGGTTAGAGGCCATTGTCGCTCCACCATTGCCCTCCACGCTTCTCTCCCTCCCTTTCCCCAATCTCCCTCGTCCGCCTGCCTCTGTGCGTGTGGTGCGTGTGTGCACACGGCAGGGCAACAGGAGGTGGTCGCCGTGGGCCATCAAGTGGGCGCACAGCAGCGCCATGCTCTCGCTCTACCCGCCCCTCCCCGCCAACCTCTCCCTCGCCTTCCCCCTCAAGCGCGCCGCGCCCCCCTCTGACGCCCCCCTCGTGCCGCTGCTCCCGGGGATGGCCTCTCCTGGGGGGAAGGCTGCTGGGGGGGCCGCGGGTGGGGGAGTACGGGGCAGTGGGAGAGGGGGCGGGGAGGGGGGGGTGGAGGGGGCGGTGAGGGCGTGGATGGAGGGGCCGCTGCCAGGCATGGCACGGGTGAGGCGCTTCGACCTGTGTGCTCGCGAGCTGCTGCACCTCCCCGTGGGGCACTCCCTGCCTGACCTGCACTCCCTGCTCTCCGCCGTCGCCCAGGTGCGCTGCCCTCTGCTCTGCTCCACTCTCTGCTCTCCATTTTCAACTCGTGTGATTGTGGGGGGCAATGCACCACTCATGCCATGCCGTGCAGTGCCAAGGACTCACTCTCTCCACTGTTGCTCTCTGCTTTCCCCCCCCTCTCTGCTCTCTGGCACGCAGGACAAGCGGGTGTCGCTGGTGGTGGTGCCGCGGGGCGGCAGGGACGAGGTGAACAACTGGCTGTGCCACCTGGACGGCAGCGGCCTGCGCTCATTCATCCTCATCGTCCCCCATGCCAGCCTGGCAGCTGAGCTGTCGGCACGTGGCTTCGCTGCCTTCCACCTGCCGCCACTCAGCAGGCGCCAGGTGGCACAGGGGCTTGGGCAGCTGGCAGCAAGGGGAGGGGTGAAGGCAGTGAGGGAGAAGGAGGGGTTAGAGGAGGTGGAGGGTGAGGAGGTGGATGCTGGGGTGCAAGTGGAGGGGGAGGGTGAATTGGAGGAGCAGGAGGGTGAGGAGGGAGGGGAGGGAGAGGGGGCGCACAGCAGGTGGACGGCGCGGCACATAGAGGTGGTGGTGGCGGCGCTGTCGCAGGGCTTTGATGTGTCCCTCAGCAATGTGGACGCCGTGTGGCGGGGTGACCCCATGGCCACCGAGGCCCTCGGGCTCATTCCCGCTGACGTGGACATGTGGGGCCACCTTGACATTGCTGACGTGGCATCCAGCTTCTTCGTGATTCGTTCTCGTGCCGCTACGGTTTCGGCGTGGGGCCAGTTGGCGAAGCTGTGTGCGCAGGTTCCCAAGGGCGGAAGCAAGGGGGACTTGGATAAGGCAGAGGTGGGGTGTGGTGAGTCAGGGAGCGGCGTGCAGCAGAAGCAGATGCGGGTTCTGCTAATGCAGGCGATGCATTTCAGAGAGGTTGATTCGATTCCCTTTGGACGCGATGGCGCAGTGCGCGTGCCCAAGGGAACGTTGTTGCCTGTTCTACTGCCACCTCAATTTGCAACAAAAGGGAAGAAGATTAGGAGTATGGATATGATCGGGCTTTGGGTGATAGATGACTATGACCATGCATGTAAAGCTGTCACGTGCAAAAGGAAGCTGTACAGCCCTGCTTAGGATTCTTTCTGTTACGAATAGTAACATTTGATATTACTGTGCACTCCTTGTCAAACTGTATGTGCTGCATATTGTCTAGGCTGTAGTGGGGTAGCCCATATGGGGTACAACCAAATTAGGGTTTACTACTTGTACTCCTGCATCCTGCTAGTTCATTCATTCCTGCTGCTAGATTCTAACATGGTTTCAGAGCACTAAGGTCCGTAGGACCGTCTTTTTTTTCGGGCCCACCTACCGCTGCGGTTACCGCGCTACCCCACGTACCTGCCTGCCTTGCCTTGCCTTGTGACGTGCTGCACAAGCGCTGCCTCCTGCTGCCCTAGGCCAGCGCGCTGCCCCTAGAGGCCCGTAAGGCCCGCGCGCCGCCTCTACACGCCCGTCAGGCCCGCAAACAGCCACTGCAGACCGTTAAGCACGCTGCTGCCGCGCGCTGCCCGCACCGAGACCGCGCAGCCCGCACCGAGTCGCGCGCAGCCCGCTGCAGCCGCGCGCAGCCCGCACCGAGCCGCGCGCAGCCCGCTGCAGCCGCGCGCAGCCCGCACCGACCCGCGCGCAGCCCGCTGCAGCCGCGCGCAGCCCGCACCGAGCCGCGCGCAGCTCGCAGCTGCCGCGCGCAGCCCGCGCCGAGCCCACGCAGCCCGCGTCGAGCCGCGCGCGGCCTGCTACGGCCTCGCGAGGCCCGCGCGCGGCCCGCAGCAGCCCGCGCCGAGCCGCGCGCGGCCTGCTACTGCCTCGCACGGCCCGCGCGCGGCCCGCAACAGCCCGCGCCGAGCCGCGCGCGGCCCGCTACTGCCTAGCGCGGCCGCGCGCGGCCTGCAGCAGCTCAGCGCGCTGTCAGCGCAGCCCGCGCCGAGCCGCGCGCGGCCCTCTGCCTCGGCCCCGACCTGCCGCTGATACGGCCCCGACCTGCCGCTGATGCGGCCCCGCCCTGCAGCTGCCACGGCCCCGACCTGCCGCTGATGCGGCCCCGCCCTGCAGCTGCCACGGCCCCGACCTGCCGCTGACGCGGCCCCACCCTGCTACTGCCGCTGAAGCGGCCCCGCCCTGCAGCTGCTTCGGCCCTGCTCTGCAGCCGGTGTTGCGGCCCCGACGTCGCCGCTGTCGAGCGCCGGCCCTGCTCGCCCGGTGAGCGCCTGCTCTCCCAGCCTTTGGTGAGCGACTGCCTGCCTGCCTGACGGCCTGCCTGTCTGCCTGCCTGCCTGCCTGCCTGCCTGCCTGCCTGCCTGCCTGCCGGCCTGCCTGCCTGCCTGCGCGCCTGCCTGCCTGCCTGCCGGCCTGCCTGCCTGCCTGCCGGCCTGCCTGTCTGTCTGCCTGCCTGCCTGCCTGCCTGCCTGCCTGCCTGCCTGTCTGCCTGCCTGCCTTCCTGCCTGCCTGCCTGCCTGCCTGCTTGCCTGCCTGCCTGCCACGCCTGCCCTGCCCGCGCTGCTGCTGCTGCTACTGCTACTGGCAGGTGGCCAGATGCAGCTCCAGCGACGTTCACGCGAGCCTCTCACGCCCCAGCAGCTTAGTGAGTGGTATACTAGCTGGGGTTGTCGCGGTAGCCGTCGTAGCTGTCGCCCTGGGGCTGGTCAGTTGGGAGCGTCTAGCAGTGGCCAGCTGCAGCTGCAGGGGCGTCCACGCGAGACACTTACGCCTCGGCAGCTCCAGGAGTGGTACGCTCAGTGTAGCAGGTCTACACGTACAGTTCGCTGCCCGTACGTCATTCGCACAGGTGCTAGGACTGGTCAGCCTTGTGGGACGCTTGGTCACACACAGTCCCGCTGCTTTGCCCGTCTGAGCGACGACTGGCGCACAGTGTTTGGCGACGAGGCTGAGCTCCCCACCTGGCTGGAGCTGCATGGACAGAGGGTAGATATCTTTGCGCTTGACTATGATGCTATTCTCACTGCCATGTATGCATTGTCTACTAGTGCTGACCGTGCCTGTTACCTGTGCGTACCGCCTGACCCTGGTGAGGCTGCTGCCCTAGGTGCTAGTGCGTCTCCTGCTCTAGGTGCTGGTGAGGCTGCTGCTCTCGGTGCTAGTACGTCTACTGCTCTAGGTACTGGTGAGGCCGTGGCTTCAGGTGCTGGTGAGTCTGCTCTCTCTGGTACTGCGCCCACTGCGGTCTCGCACACCTTCACCCTTGACTCAGGAGCTTCCCGCTCCTTCTTTCGCGACTGCACCGCACTCACGCCGCTCAGTCGGCCAGTCACGGTCTCCCTGGCAGACCCCTCTGGGGGTCCAGTCCTTGCCCACTACTCCACGGTTCTGCCGTGTCCGGCCGTCCCGTCTGGCTTCCTGTCAGGTCTTTACCTCCCCTCGTTCTCTACGAACTTGGTGAGTGGAGCTGACCTCCAGGATGGGGGGGTTCACCAGTTCACTCCTGCGAGTCAGCGAGTGACTCACTGTACGTGTGCTAGGACGGGCCGGCACTTGGCCACGTTCACCCGTGCACCTGGCTCGAGTCTGTACACACTGACCATTGAGTCCCCTCAGGTAGCTGCGTCTGCGTCTACGTCTGGTCAGCTGGCGGCCCCCTGCGAGTGTCGCGCTTTGTCGCACGACACTCTCCTGTGGCACCACCGCCTTGGTCACCCCTCCTTGCCTCGCCTGCGTAGCATGCACTCTTGATTCCTGGTCTCTGGTCTCCCCAGGTCTCTGCCTGCCCTCCCTCCCTCGCCTGCGCCGCCCTGCATTCCTTGCGTCGAGGGGCGGCAGCGCGCCGCTCCTCACTCCTCCTCGTTTCCTCCCACAGAGGCTCCACTGCAGACGCTCCACCTGGACGTGTGGGGCCCAGCCCGCGTCCAGGGACAGGGCCACGAGCGGTACTTCCTGCTGGTTGTCGACGACTTCACGCGTTACACCACGGTCTTCCCCTTGCGGAGCAAGGCGGATGTCCTTGCTGTTTTGATCCCCTGGATCCGCGCTGTTCGTCTCCAGCTCCGCGAGCGGTTCCGGTCGGACTTTCCTGTCCTGCGTCTGCACTCTGACAGAGGTGGTGAGTTCTCCTCCGACCTCTTGGCAGCCTACTGTGCGGAGCACGGCATCACCCAGTCGTTCACGCTTCCGGCCTCTCCGCAGCAGAATGGGGTTGCTGAGCGCCGCATTGGCTTAGTCATGGAGGTCGCTCGTACCTCCATGATCCATGCGGCTGCCCCCCATTTTCTGTGGCCGTTTGCAGTCCGGTACGCCGCGCATCAGCTCAACCTTTGGCCCCGTGTCTCCTTGCCGGAGACCTCGCCCACACTGCTGTGGACGGGGAAGGTTGGCGATGCGTCGCGTTTCCGGGTCTGGGGTGCTCGTGCCTTTGTCCGCGATACCACCGCGGACAAGCTCTCCGCCCGCGCTGTTCCCTGTGTCTTCCTTGGCTTTGTCCCTGACGCGCCTGGTTGGCAGTTTTACCACCCCACCTCGCGCCGTGTCTTTGCGTCTCAGGACGTCACGTTCGACGAGTCAGTTCCCTTTTACTGTCTCTTCCCCTACCGCACTGCCCCGCTCCCCCCCCCCGCCGCTCTTCCTCGCTCCAGGTGCTCCCCAGGTAGACCCCCTCCTCGCTCCCGGTCCTGCTCCTTCAGGTGTTTCTCAGGTAGACCCTCCTCCCTTGACTGCGCCGGTTGAGGTCACTGGTGACTCAGGTCCTACTGAGAGTGGTCCTGCTCGGGGTGCTACTTCTGGGGGTGCTGAGCCTGGGGGTGCGGAGCCTGGGGGTGCTGAGCCTGGGGGTACTGAGCCTGAGGGTGCGGAGCTTGAGGGTGTAGAGCCTGGTGGTGCTGAGCCTGAGTGTGAGGGGTCTGGGGGTGCTGAGCTTGGCGGTACTGACGCTGGAGGTTCTGGAGCTACTGAGGGTGCTGGCGCTGGAGGTTCGGGAGCTGCTGGAGGGCCTAGTACTGGTGGCGCTGGAGCTGGAGGTTCTGGAGCTGCTGAGGGTGCTCGCGCTGGAGGTTCTGGAGCCGCTGGAGGTACTGGTGCTGAGGGTACTGACACCGGAGGTTCTGGAGCAGTTGGGGGTGCGGGCGCTGAGGGTTCTGAGTCTGCTGTTGCGCGGTCTCCTTGGAGTAGCCGCCTTCGTCCACGTGTGCCTCTCACCCCACAGCAGCTGCAGGACTAGTACGGTCGTTTCCAGCGTCGCGCTGCTGGAGCTAGGAGTCGTGCTGGTCCTTTGTCTACTGGAGGTGCTGGAGTTGCTGGTTCTGGAGGTGCTCGTGCTGGAGACACTGAGGCTGGAGACCCTGGGACTGGAGGTGCTGGCTCTGGGGGTGCTGCTGCTGGAGACACTGAGGTTGGAGACCCTGGGACTGGAGGTGCTGGTTCTGGGGGTGCTGCTGCTGGAGACACAGAGGTTGGAGACCCTGGGACTCGAGGTGTCGGCTCTGGGCCTGGAGCTTCTGGAGCTGCTGGAGGTACTGGAGCTGCTGGAGGCACTGGAGCTGCTGGAGGCACTGGAGCTGCTGGAGCTGCTGGTACTGGTGCAGCTGCGCCGACACGACTGTTCTTCGCTCCGCCGTCTCCGTCGTCTCTGCCGCCGTCTGACTCTGTTCTTCGTCAGGTTCTTACTCTTCCGTCGTCTACTGGTCTTCCGTTACAGTCTGGCTCACCGCTGCCTGCTCCTTCTCCTTACACTGAGCAGACTGGTAGTCCTGCTGAGCGTCGTGAGCCTGCGTCGCGTCCTGTTTCGCCTGTTCGTCCTGGTCGTACCGGTCGTCGTGTTCCTCGTTCGCGTCAGCCGGCTGTCCCCGGCGCACACCTCATAGTCCGTCGTCCTTCCTCTGCTCCGCCGCCTGTTCCTCTGCCGTCTCCTCCTGCGTCCTCTTTGCCTGACGTTCCGGACCCTGCGTCTGACCGGTTTCGTGCTGAGCACCCTACTGTCACGCGTCTACTAGCCACTGTTGTCACTGACCCATCGTTTGAGTCTACTGCTGCGTCTGCTCTTGTAGCTGAGCTTGTTGACTTTGCTGCTGCCTGTCGTCTAGACTTCGCTGCCAGTCTTGTTACTGAGTCTGAGTCTGTCTGTCCTCCGT